TTACTTTTTAAGCAAACAAAAATACGAAAGAAAATGAAGATTGATTATAAAAAACCAGATCCCGTGAGAAATTTAAAAAGCGAAAATAATGAAATTTTGAGTAAAAAGAGAATTCATCAGTCAATTTCACGGTTTCATATCAGCTGCATACAACCTAAAATTACGATTAATCATATAATTGTCAACAAATATTTAACATACTTTCGTTTGTGAAGCTTGGACAAATGTTCGAAACATAACCGGAATCATTAAAAAGTATAAGATACAATGTGTATGAATGAGCATAGTTAATATAAATGTATATATATATATGTTGGAAAGTATTGTACTGCAGATTAGGATAGGTGTAATAGTGACAGGTAATCATCATCAAGATAAAAAGGTTTATGCACGGCTAATAACACTAATAAGTGATCGCGTAATCGCTCAACATAATAAAATAAACAAATATGTGGAAATCAATAAGATTATGTAAGGGACGAATATCAGCAGATGAAAACCAAATAAGAAAAGGTTGAAGACAAGGCTGAAAAACTAGAAAATTAATAGAGGTTATCAGATAAACCTTAAATCATCATGACAGGGAAAGGATAGTCACACTTTCCTTCTGTAGAGACAAGTCAAATCGGAAGCGTTTGATAACGATTACTTCAGCAAAACAGAATAAGATTGGTGTTTCTTGTCTGTTAATTATTTTGAATGCATTACTTACATTCACTTCATGTCCACCATTCAAATAGTATCTAGTAACTGGTGATGAAAAACCTTATTCCTTTTCAAACGTAGTTACCTGATTCGTGAAACACATTTTATAGTAAATTTAGATTGAAGAAATAAATACAACTCGAAGAAGTAAATATTCTCTTCAACAATATTCTTTACTAAATATATACTATGATATTTATAGTAATTTAATTGATAAACTAGCTGACGTCAAAAGTGTCGCAAGAGGTTTTGTAATGATTCAAAGGTTAGGAGGAAGCAATAACATTAAAACACAAGCATAAGAGGTTAAGACCTACTTGACAAGGTGGAAAAGAAATCCGAAAAAGTAGAGGCAATAATAACAAATGATAAGTTCTAAAAATTGGAAGAGTGTAAGTAACCAATTAACGAGTACGAAAAATTAGAAGTCTTACGATCTTCAACAGAATGACGTATAACGCATGCTGCCTCTGCAAAAAGAGTTTAAGCTTGAAATACTTAATTGTTAAGACCTATACAATGAACAAATTATTTATTTGTGCTTCTTATCAGCAAGGTCATTCGACCGTGCAAATGATTCCGAAAGACGTTTCTGGTTTCTGGCTATGTGAAAATTAGTGGGACAAAACACTCTGCTTATTGATTTCGAGAGTCAACCGAAGATTTCCACTGCATCATCTTTCAATCTGACATTCATGGAAATTTCTTCAAATCCGCAGGTGATCTTTCGAGTTTTTATCGTATGACCAAAAGTATAACTAATTACCGAAATTAAGACTTTTTAGTACGTTGTGTCATCAATACACTCAAGGATGTAGTGAATGAAGTCTCTATTTGAGACGATGAAACCTAAAGTGAACATTCCGATTTGTCCTCCTTCTTAGTCAGATTGTTTAGACAATTTCGAAAGACAGTTGTGGAGTATTAATGTGACTGAAATCAACTAGATGTTCTAGTATTGAGTCATTATTTGTCTTATATTCTTATTTTGAAAGTAATGCAGTAGAGTATTGTTTACTATTCTGTTTCATCACATAGATTAGAATTATGCATCGAAATGAATCATCATTAACTCATTATATATTATCTAAGAAAGTTCACATCGCTTAATAAATGACTATTACTCTAAAATATGTTGAAAAGTTTTGTTTACCATCGAGAGAAGCAAACAGTCCGTTTATAAGCAGCAATTTTTGAGAAAATCTTCATTATTCTTGCCAGTAAAACTATTTGATGTGATTAGTAAATTGTTTTAATATACACATAATTTCTTTCAGATAGATATAAACAAACTAAATTTGCAAAACATGATGATAAATTTTCCTGTGGTCAAGATAGTATTTTGATAACCATGATTTCATACACTTGAAAACTAAGATGAGTTTATTGAACAGTCCAATGAACCCTTTAGTTTGAGACTAACATATTCATTTCATCCTTCAATATAATCTCACATATATTAAGATGAGACTGAATATAAACATTTTACTGATGAGTACATATGATCACAAACACTTGTCTCAATATACGAAGAAAATATGAGTCTTAATTATTTTGAAATTAGTAGATGTACGGCTACTTACCGCTCCTAAAATCCCCCCTTATCAATGCCCTGACAAACTTAAATTCTTTCAATATTCTCAGAACGTTGGTTTACAAGGAATTATTCACACGTGAATATATTTACGTGAAATGTTGATGTATCATCAATCTAACTAACTATTATCTTCACATGATTGTCCACTACTTTGATAACTTCTTTATATATTTTATATCAATTATAAGTAGTATACGTATTTTTGAAACATTTCCTCGGAGCCTCAAGTATATTTTATTGATAGCAGAATGAAACCACTTCACTACTCTTTTCTTCCTAACTTCTTATAAATAATATAATACCAAATACATGCCGTCTCAATTTTAAGCAAAAATGACAAGTATACTTAAAATGATTCAAGTATTTACAAAACATTTAGAAATAAGTTATTTAAAAAAAGGTTAAGATATGTTTGATAGTGAATGTATTCTGGGAACGAAGCATAAAAATGGAGAGTAACTACTGACTATCAAATCAAAAACTAGGCCGAGAAAGCAATGAACAAGTACAATCAAACCAACAAGAAACAAAAACCAGTTTCTATACATCAGCTCTCTCAAAAGAAGTGTTCATGTAGTGTTCCGATAATGTAACTTTCCGTTCCAAAAAAGTGCGTATGTGGATTCGTAGTCTGGAGACCTGAATTGATAGACATTTATTTTAGAAACGAGAAACAGATATACAACCCCATTACTAAATAATTTTAGTTGGGTTATTCAACACTTCTACAGCCTACGCAATCGGCGTGACCATGTAAAGAATGAACCGTTCATTAGGCACCTGGTGAAAAAAGTACTCTAATTTCCAGGACTTACATCAGATCATTGAAACTATTTGATAGAAAGGCTTAGAACTTTGACTGAGGAGCTCCTGTACAAGTATTTAAACAATAAAAGTAGCCCGAAGAACTAATAAGAACGTACTGTATTTGAAATATGTTGGACGATAAAGAACGAATATACCTACTCCATTGAGATTGGCGTTTAGACATAACACCAAAGACTTATGGAAATGGACTCCTAAAAAATTTCGAAACAAGACAATACGTATTTAGCATTAAAATTAGTCTCGCTTCATTACTATCATTCGTTTGGGTAGAGGGAGATCAAGTATATGTGATAAATTCTGCAGGTATGAAAGCGTACGAGTTAAATAACTTGTTAACCCTCATGAGCGAAACTAAAGCTTTACTTAGGAGTTAACGACTTAAGAGTTTAAAAAAACATCAATGTACGAGAACTACCATAAGATTATGATAGTTTTTTTAGTATTTCAGTTACAGGGTTAATACGTGTAAAGTTAAACGAATTGAACTGCTTTGCTATATACTAGCCATCAATTTGGTACTCGGAAACAGTGTTAACACCATATTTAGCAAAAGACATCGATACTAATCTTTCTTAATTCACTATGATGAAATAGACCAAAAGAGATTGTGGACAACCTTTTAGGATACGACTTGAGGTTGCAAAAACAGATGACAGATCTCCATTAGCTCTGACTCAGATGGGATTATGTTCAACTCCAAGATTTTAGCTAAAATATTAATTAGCCTAATCGCTAAAATTGGACCACCATCCTTAAAGACCTATGGAGCCAATCCATCTGGACCAGCTATCCTTCCTCGTTTCAGATTAGCTATAGCCTTTTGAACTTCAATTAGAGTCGAGGGGTCTATTTCAACGTTCCATTCAGGATGTTTGGAAATTGTGAGTAGCTGCAGAGTAGCTGAACTGCTCCTTAAAGTGTTCCACCCATCATTCTAAACGTCTGGGCTGATAGCAGATAAGAGTGTCGTCTTTTTCCGAGATCGTCTCACACTTGACTTCTTAATTTCAGTTTCTTTTATGAGTCTGAAAAGCTGTCTTGTGTTACCTGCAAAAGCTATCTTTTCTATCTCTTTTGCTTTCGTTGCCCACCAATGTTCGCGAACGTTCCTTAGACTTTCCGCTAACCTAGATCTGATTTGTCTTCGTTCTTCATCGTGTTCAGAGCCTGATGGGATGAGTTTACAAGAATCTATGCAATAGACTTGGTAGAAATCCACTGGTTTTTCGTAACCCTTTGGTTTAAATCACAATAGATGTTACTGCTGTTTCCACAGCTGTTCATACATCTTTCTAAACAACATCTGGGTCAGCCACGTTCTCAAAATTGCTTAAGTGTGACTACAGTTGTCCCTGGAATTTACCTTTGACCTTCTCATCGCCGAGTTCAACACTAATGGGTCTTCTTAATATGGCTTTCCTGCGTTCAGTGAGGCTCAGTAACGTAATCGGCCTACTTGACTAGTATTTACATAACTGGCTGTTTTTAAACAAAGATGATGGATCTCGTCAACATCGATACAAATTTAGTACCATCCTGAGTTTCAAATGGGTTTAAACACGCCCCTTAATAAAGATAAAAAATGTGATTGCGGTTTTTCATTCACAGGTAAATATCCTATAAATCATCTGGCGACCGAAAACATTACTAAATGTTTAAAACCTTAAAATCCGAAAATCACAAACTACTTTATGAATACAGGCAACTATACCCATTAAGCGAAAGCTTTGAAGTGATATTATCACTGATTAAAAATTATTCAACACTCAAAATGCCTCGGCACGTGTAGTGTGATAAATGCAACAAAGATAAAAGGGTATCCAACGTAAGAAGTGTATTACAAGTTACATAGCAATATACATGTTTGATGTTAAATTGTTTTACCAGGATCGGCTTTTAGAGCAACAGTTCGATTGAAAACCATCTAAAACAAAATAGAAACATAGGGAAGCAATAATGATGTGGCGCACAAAGATGATTACAGTGAAAGTAAAACCGTCTTATTTTTTCAGAATAAACAATAGCCAATTCTTTCTTCATAGATCAGTACTTTACAATGGTACTCATTTGACGATAATACAAGTGAGCAAATGTTAGACCATGAGTTACAAATTTTATGAAAGTAGACGTTACTATCTAAATTTTTAAACTCACATACAGGGAACCATTTAGATTAGTAATCATTTGTGAATTATAGTTTACTAGATAAATGTAATTCAGGTGTACACTCAAGTTTACTCTAAATAATGAGTTGAAAACAAGGTGTTAAGAATTCAAAGATGTAAAACAAAATCACTATATGTTGTAGTCTTTTTAAGGTTTACCTGAGATTCTTCTTATAGTAAACAGTACAAATACTACCTGCTAGAGAATAAAGGACTTACACGTTTTGAGTTAGTATCAGGATCCACAGAGAAGAAACCAATACGTTCAAATTGATAGGCAGTGTAAACCTCAGCATTTTTGACAGACTGTTCAATCAAAGCACCCGGAATTATGACTAATGAATTCTGAATAATGTGAAAGTTAGTTGCGTATAGTCCACGTAATCGAAAATGGGTTATACAAATAAATACAATTTGAAGTTTATTAAGAGACAAAAGTGACCTGGAAAAAAACTAATGTGCTTGCGCAATACTTCGAAAAACCTCATGACGGTATTTTATACGAAAGCTGAAAATTATTTAGTTTTTACAAAAAGATAACTGTGGAAATACATCGAATTTTCCAGATCGACTCTATCTTCTCAATACACTATCGATACTGAACTATTAACAATAAGTGATAGTTTCTCGTTGAATTTTATTAGACATTTATGTGGAGCAGAACCATTGAGGTTTATCGACCTCGATAATCAGTGCATAATTATTTAAAATGTTTGATCCAAAAAACACGAATACCACAAAAATATTTAGTTGCGATTCAAGGCAAAAAATCATAAATTTAATGAATAGTTTAAAAACAACTAGTAATGAATAAAACAAACTTAATGGTAGCACGTAAATGAAAACTGAAAATCCATTTATTAGACGGAATATTATAATCTTATGATGAAAAGCAAGTGCGAAAGTACATAACACAATGGTTGCCAACATAGTTTAATGGGTTAATATCGATAAAAAATCAGAAGTCTTCAGAAATTAACCTGAAATTTACAAAAAGCTAGTAATCACAATACCTTATATATGACTCTAAGAAGCATGGCTTTAATATGCTTAAAAAACTACAATAAAGTGAGTGATTTACATATCATTTCTAGAACAGTGAATTAACTTCCTCCTTTAATAAGTTTAGGTAAATATGTAGTATTTAGAAACGAAAGCTTCAACCCCTTTTCTTCAACAGTTGGGACAGATCTCTTTCTGCTGGAAATTGTGGCCACCCTAGAGAAGCATAAACATTGCAGTTATTGCATACATACATATACAAGAAAAGGAAAACATAGAATCGTTGTGGAATAAAACTATAGTTTATACACCTCAAACTATTATTATTTATGGCTAAGAAGTTAGAGAAAAGACATCCAAACGAAACACTGTGATTTAATTGCAGTTTAGCCAAATTAATTTATACTGATTTTCTTAATGCTCATTGGTAAGTATAAATAAATATTACTGCAAAATAAAACAAAACACAATACAAGTCTTACAAAACGTTGATCTGAGGAAACGCTTAAGTATCAACTGTAATTAGCTTAAAAAATTCACTGAGATCGATTCCAATACGTGGTTGTCTATTAAATTTGAGTAAATCAGGAAATACTGCAATATACCAGGACTAAGAGTATCTATCCAAAACTGATGAAAAAGGATGTCTCAAAAAGGTTTCAAAGATATCGTTCAGTAATGTGAACAGACTGGTATTGTATGATTTTCTTACTTGTATGGTGTCGATGAAAACATACAAAATCTATTGCATTAAGCATATGCTTAATGATTAAGTGCTACTAGTGAGTTTTAGGAACAATCTTATCATTAAATGGAGAGATGCTTGTACAATTTGTAGACTAAACTGATTATCAATTGCTATCACATAACTGATTTAATATTTCTCTTGAACTTGTATAACGGCCTAACTAACCTGTCTGCACAAAAACAAGAAAAACATAGTAAAAATGATACAAATGTATTCGGACATACTTTATTAATCACAGACAAGAATCCATTCTTTTCGCTTTCTGGCTCCTTGACGGTGAACCTAAAAACACCAGATAACAAATCTTACTGACCCCGTGAATGACGAATTTTGAGATATTATATATAAGTTATAAACCTAAACTTACAATCGGTCATAAAGTCGAGCTTCAAACTGCAAAGGATTGGACACCCAATGTATAAAAGCTTTTGGCTTAGTAGTATCCTCTACCTTCTGGGCTTTCACAAATAAATGAGATATTTTCCCATCGGAATCCTATGTGAAGCGCAATTCAGAGATAAATGGGAATAATTCAACAATGTAACATTAATAACTATAAAAAATTAAGCAAAAACTAAAACTTACAGAAGTCTTGTGTACCACATCCAATGAATGAGAAACTGGAAAAATATAACATTTGTTAGGGGGCTACGGATTGATTCTACAAGATTATTGAGTTAAAATACTGTTTGCGATGCAAAACTAAAACGAAACGTTTTTTGGATAACTAATACATATGACTTTCAGAATTACTTTTATTCAGAACTTATTTTGATACATTTTTACAAAAAATTCCGAATGTAAGTTAATTTCTTGTGCCGCTCAGGAGCGTAGCAACTTGATATCACGATTCTATCGCAGTAATTGAATAAAACCGTGTGATTTTTTCTTGGAAAACATGTACTTAAAAATGTTGTCTAAAATTTTGTATTAATATATGCATATGCACATCAAAGTAAGTATCAAAAAACAAATGTTTTATGAAATTTAAATGTAACCAAAACCAAAAATTGCATAGAAGAATCTAAAACAGTATAGTTTACTTTTTTTAAATCGGAAAATTCTAAAACAAGGCCCGTGTAACGAAGACCAACTGGTTGATTAGGTGTTAAACGACGATATCCTTTCTCAGCAACTTCTTGAAAGTCTGTATTTTCTATGTACAGCTCCTGTTGCAACAGGACACTATGAGTCTTACTGTCTGGAATAGCAGGAAAATCCGCAACTGTAAGCTAAAAACAAAAAGTAAAGTATACTGAGTTTGCTGTCAACCTAAACAGTGAATGTAAAGAATTTCGAAAATAAAAATCATTTTACCTCGACAGAAGACTTATCGCCATACAGTTCATGCCAATTCGTAATAGTTACTATTATTGGCTCTAAAACAGCCATCACACGTGGTGCATGATCATTCAGATAGTCCCGTACACAAGCATCTAAAGCAGAAGGATCAAGGATTGTTTGAGCCATAGTAACGCCAATACGTTCACAAAACATATTAATAGCTTGAGGTGGAAATCCACGACGACGGAGTGCTGTCAAAGTTACTAACCGTGGATCATCCCAGTCATTAACAATACCGGCTTCTATCAGCTTTAAAATTTTGCGCTTAGACACCACACTATAATACAAATTGAGGCGACCATATTCCCACTGAACTGGACAATAAAGATTTAGTGAATTACAAAGCCAATAATACGCAGGACGTCTAAAACAATGAATTCAAGATACATTATTACCAGTTATACAACTCTAAACTTACATTTATATATATATATATATATATATATATATATATATATATATATATATATATATATATATATATATATATATATATATATATATATATATAGTGAGAACTGAAGCATAAAATACTGTTTAAAAAAAAAATCGGCATAAGTCCCTAAATAACAGACTGAATTCCTGTCGATATCTGAAGTGCCTAGTTTATTGGCTACTTTAGTAACCTTTAAGTATTGTCCCCAGCCCATCGACTATAGGCTATGAAATTTCTGATCAAGTTTTAGTCTACTAAAAAGGGGAAATTGTACGACTACAAGTGTCCAAATAATTGTTCACTATTTCTAATATCTGAAAACTGCAAATAAATATATATATTTGAGAACACTTACTCGGTCTCATTGTACTGTTTTTTTCCTTATTAGTTGACTAGCATACCATCCGTCACTTTTAATCGAATCGCTCTCAGAATAATCACAACCAGTAATTTATTCCATTTTGTAGTCTTTAAATTCTTCACTTAAGCACTAGTTTGTATCAGTAAAGTATCTTGTGAATGGCATTTTGTGTGTATCATGCACAACTCCGCCTGGAGTCCCTCCGGGGGCTACTGCCGGTCCCAAGCCCGGATAAAGGAGGAGGGTTGGGCATGGGGTTAGCGTTCCCATCCCGTAGAAAACTAACTTGCTAAAAAAACGCTAACCAGAAAAGTGGATAGGACACACATTGAGGAAAGCACCCAACTGCGTCACAAGACAAGCCCTCACTTGGAATCCTGAAGGTCAAAGGAAAAGAGGAAGACCAAAGAACACATTACGCCGAGAAATGGAGATAGACATGAGAAAAATGAACAAGAATTGGATGGAACTAGAAAAGAAGGCTCAGGACAGAGTGGGTTGGAGAATGCTGGTCAGCGGCCTATGCTCCATTGAGAGTAACAGGCGTAAGTAAGTAAGTAAGTGTATCATGCACAAAATCTCTTAGTTAACTAATGAATAAAAATTATTTTCCACATTCGCACTCGCTCGAAAATCCTTAGTTAGAGAGACACATCCTTTAGACAACTTCAAGAAATTACATCAAGAATTTTAAAATATTCGCTTAAACAAACTAGATTTAGGAACCTTACCTAAAGGCTTTAAATTTCATGTCCTAAACAATAAGTAAAGCCAAACTGATTAAAGATATAAGTTTAAAAATTAACATAATCAGCTTTATCAATTAATGCCTTTACCGAGAGATACGAAAAATTGGTTCAAATTCAGACTTATGACCCTACCGACAAAATGTTCTACCACACCAGGAGTCCCTATATATCTGTTACCAAAAAGGTATAGGAACACTGTAAATAAGCTGATGAAAATGATAGCTGCTTTCCATTAGATTCAATGAACGAACAGCTCCTTTCAGACCTCGGTCTTGGAACAATAAACCAGGATATCTCTGAACGTATAAATTACCAGATCATGAGAAACATCTCGCTACGGATAAGCTGAGTAAAGATATGACACCAAACTGGGAAAATTAGTCACCTAAACAAACTACTGAAGAAAAGAGAAATAGGTGAGTCAACTTGTGAGATTTTCAAACCAACAGGCACCTACCTTACAAGGTTGTAGGATCTACCTATGACTTGTATGACTGATAACAATCCATGGGTCATCTTAGGAATGAATAATGGACAACCAAATAAGCTTAATGGCTTGATCGACTGACTAATCCCAAAAGAAGAGAACTGGCTACATACACGACAGTCCTGATTTCGTCAACATAGCACAAGGCGTTACATGAATCATAAAGTAGATGGTTTCTTTTCAGGGTCGGCAGAATTACAAATCCACAAGAGTACGAAACACAAAATAGAGTGAATTTCTTGGACTCGATTAGGTTCTATTTACAGCGAAAGTTCTTAAACGGGTCAACATTTTCATTTCAGCGGCTTCTAATCAGTTACAAATAAAACGTCTTGATAGAGTTATTCTCAAGAAATACCACACTGTCGTGAAGATTTATTTGAAAAGTGGAAAGCATTCGAAGAACTTAAATTGACAATGGCCATTCCATAAAGTTTGTTAACGAACACTTTGAGCCAATAATTGGAATTTCACAACTAACCGCCACTACTAATAAAAACGTATATGTTAAACTTTTATTCAAAGGGGATGATTCTAGCCCGCAAAGTAGCCATCGATCAAAAATCGATATTACACCAACCTTTTCTGCCACCAATTTAATTATCACATATGGAACAAAAGGCAGTTATAGAGTCTTGGACTAGGGATCTTTATTTACCTTCATTTGTAGTTGTTTATCAGTATTTGCAATAACATGTTAGAAGAGCGGAGAGGATCTTATTCACAAGAATCGCTCTGAATACATACACTAAATTTGTCTGTCAATGGGTTCGAATTCACTACAATGACATGAGATGACATATCATATTTCCTTTATCCAATGATGTTTAACTTTTTCAAACTGTTTAACCTATAGACTTCATAAACACTCTTCATCCCACCCACTATTCTTCATTTAATTACAACAATATTATCGTTCATTCTAATCAAATCACTTCTAAGTTACAGCTGTCACGGCTAGCTAACACTGAAAAAGTTTGACCTTCTGTTCATTTAGTTATTCAAGCGATCTAATGCTATTAGGCTGACCTTTTGACTAAGTTCACTTCAGTGATCATTTTGTAAGTGTGTGAATGAAAAAAGCTTAGAGTAACAGGTGAAAACAAAGATCAAAACATTTACAGTAGAGAAATACTCAAAATCTGGTAGTAAACACAGAATAGATGTAACGCACTCTACCTTCAGTTGCACCACTCACTGCTCAGTCAATGTCAATGACTTAGTATGAATACAATCGAGAAATCCATAGTTCTGTTAACGAATTGAACCAACGATTAGTTAATGCAGATAATCTGACATGGTTTGATGAATACTTTTTCTATCACGCTTTTTCAGTAAAATAAATTCTTCATATGGGTGGTGATTTTGTATGGGTAACATACCTTAAATGATGCATTTTAAAAACCTTACTGTTTTATGTCTATTAAAAAAACTAATCTAAATTCACTACCGTATATTTTAAGCTCTACCATTATACAACTAAATACTTTTGCAATAGGGAATGACAAAAATCGTACTTAGATAAAAATCTTAGTATTGTACATGTATCATTTTATTTGCTGCTACTTACCGTGACTGAAATTCCTTAGTGCATAATGAATGTGTGATATTCTCAATGGAATCACACAAGCAATGTGTATAGTCATAAGTAGGGTAAATGCACCTAAATTAAATTGTAACATAGAGTACAGAAAAGTAAATAACCTACCACTCAGTACCAGTACGATGATGGGGAGTCATCTTGATGCGATAAGCTACTGGATCCACTTTCCCATCGCCCAATGTCACTTTCATACGTAAAGTAGCCATACCTTCGTCAATCTAAATAGCAGTAAAGAATTACGAAAGCATACAACGTAATATAATGTTACAGGATATACCCTCCAGTTCATTTATAAAAATCGCCTAGTTAAAAACAGAAATAACACGTATTAGTGTCGAAAATTCAGATATAGCTTCGAAATGTTGATTTGTAGGTGAAAAACGAACAAACTACGGACAAGTGACGAATTTATATTGTTTTCTAATAGTTGTATAAGTGATATGTAGTACATGAAAATTAAATCAGTGTATGCTTACATTTACATGAAGATAAGTTCTCAGGTACACAAGTCAGCAAGGTTGTCTAATATTTAGAGCGAATTGTTTATGACCGTTGGGTTAAAATCTCACATTTTGGTATTACATTGACTAGAAACAAGGACTATACGTTAGCGTAAGCTTTCATAGACTTAGTTATACCCTCCGAGTATCAAAACTGAATAGCATATGGTTAAAACTCGGGTAATCCTAGGTTCGACGTGGTATTATTTGTATGGATATTATACTACCGTAAAAACATTCTCTGCTAATCTCATTGAGAATCCGATAATATGTTTCGAAACATTAGAAATACAATACTCTACGCATTGAGATATCATAAAAAATACTTGTTATAAATCTGGAGTTTTTGATCCAAGAGATTCAGACTATCAGGTACACCCAGTACATCTAAATGTGTTCTAAGGCGCTGACTAAAAAGGGTCTAGAACGCGCTGTGAGGAATACGTACTGCGTTGCGAGTACTGGTTTAATTTTAAATTTAACGTGAATACTGTCTTCGCAGTTCGAAGTTTTGGTAATACGAATTACAAGAATCTTCACACTGCCTTCAAAATAATATAATCAGGATACCAAGGTGCTTTTTCAACCAGCAAAATTCATTTCTAAGGTTATGTAAAAGATATGTGGCAATAAATTTTCCAAATATCCGTAACCGATATGGAATATGCATACCTTGCCGTTTTTCATATCCTCAAACAGTCGCAAGGATTCCTCAATCGGTCTGTCTCTCCAGGGCGAAGTTGGTGGATTAAAACCTCGTATTTCTTCTACGGCCTGATGACAAACATAAGCTAACTTTAATTTGATTAACTTAATTGCCCATTCGTATAACTGTTGGAAATTATCCGAGGCATAAGTAATCTTGTATGGAGTAAAGCCTGACAACTATTAATTTATTAAAGACTTACCCAGCCATCGAACCATGTCTTCAATAGCTTCGAAAAATTCTGCTTCTTCCTTTTCAGGGTTTGTATCATCATATCGCAAGTAGGTTATGCCACCATGTTTCTAAAAATAATAGATCGCAGTGGTATCAACTAACCTTTGCATAACCAAAATTAAAATTGATCGCTTTTGCGTGGCCGATGTGTAAAATACCGTTTGGTTCAGGAGGAAACCTGGTAACTACTATGCCACCGGTTTGCTTCATGTGTTCTTTCAATAACCTCATAGTATCTTTTGTCACAATGTAACCGGGAGAATTATAATTTTCGCCTGGCTTGTGAAATTTAGCAGCTTCTCCCACTACATCACTGTCACCATTCACTAACATGATAACAGTACTGATATGATAGAGGAATAAGCAAAGCAACGATCAATTCAACGCTTTAGTGGTAACGTCTACTGGTGGAGGTCACTGAGCACTTGAAGGTCAAACCGTCGTAAAACGATTGGTGCGTCACCTCGACAATTCGTAAGGTTTTACAGAAGTGGTCACATCAAGAGAATTGATTTAAGTTCAGCCACATTATGTCTGATAACTCCCATCCTTCAAGTAACGAAAGTGATGCCACCGCAATGATGCATGACATATGATGAATCTTCAATGATATTATGTTATCGCGACAACGTTGAGACCTTTCTAGAAGTACATAGTTGTTTCTACAATAACCCTAGAGTATTTTTTCGTCAGATATGCTTGTATACTTATGGATGTAAAAGCAGTGTACCAGAATCCGAAGTTTGATAGTGGTGATCAACATTCTCCCGGAGAGCATGCACCTTCTTACTCACCGCCGCAACCTAGACGAAGAACACGATGTCGGTCATCTACGTATGCTTAATTTCAAATGAATGTATCCTCCAAGTCGAAATATTGCCACTGCTAATCTGGATTTTGGGTCCATGTAGTAAATTGTGAGCTAAGCGTCACCTCTATTAAAACCGTACACAACTATACTTGTCCATTTCTGTAGGTCCGTCGAGACTGAATTTGTCGGTGAGTGGGTGATTATATTTAAGACCGTTCCTGTTGAGTAATACGTCGACGCGAGGCATTTGACATCCGACTTCTTAGAAGTTCCATAAACAGTTTACTAAGAACAATATCACCAAAATCCGGTGACGGTTTCAACCAGGTTGCTAAACTCACATGCTAATTAAATTAATCTAGACACTAAAGATATCGACGGGATTTTACCGCGCGTCAAGCCAAACAGTAAAGTAAAAGTTTTCCGTGAACATATCTACAATCTGCCTCATTCGCAGGGAGGTGGTACTTATTGAATGACTTACCAGCCCAACTAACGAGAACAAATTTGTCTTGACGTTTTCCACTTTTCTAGCAAGTGACAACTGATGGTCTTGGGCTAAGGAACACTGTTAGGTACGTTCTTTGCGGACAATTACAACGCGCAGATATCGTAAGACTCGAATGCTTCAGACATATAATGTGCGGTACTTATGATACACGCACTTTCTTTATGGATTCATCAGCGACCGAAAGTCCCGCGGTACAGTCTACGCAGTCATGCCGACATTATACTGTGTTGTTTCATGTCTTAGGAGCACTGTTCTGGGAAGTATAGGTTAACTGTAGAAATCGTCTGTTGTAGTTCAGAAATGCCGATGTTCGCAAATGCTTGGAACATCGCGTAAAAACCAGGCGACCTAACATGTGAGCTTCGCTTTTTACAACTCATTATATTCGGATTTATTTAGAAGTATGAATACCTGGGAACCTAATTTTCACAGGCCTATAATTACATAGGGGATCACTAGATTGCTCAGAAGTCAATGTGGTTTCGTTGTTACCAGCGACATGTACCAAGCTCGGGATAACCAAACAAACAATCATGTAGAAAGTGTTCAAAAACGCCTTGAAAATGTCTCAGAAGAGGTGATAAACATTCCATCGACAGTCAGAAAATTCTGGCGTGTCTCAGACATTCACCTACGTTTCAGTCCAGATGACGCTATAAAGGATCTCCAACGTTTTCCAAAGCTTGAGGTAAGAAATGTAGTCAAATGTATCATCAATTTCGAGCTCAAATTTCACTCCAGACTCTTTTAAGCGAGCTTTTGCAGTCATATCTATGGCTAAAAATTACAAACTAGTTGGTAGTATGAGACAAAATGATAGTGCGAGAATACATCCGCTGCAACAACAAGGTTATAATATCTGTTGTTGACACAACACGTTCACAATGTGACCATCAGTGTCTCAATGATAACATGTTGCTGTGTGGTCATACTTTGTATGCACATGCCAAAGATCTATTCCATGAAGGAAAGTATGCTTCTTTGTCTCCATAAACATCGTATGTTTATTTCGACATGGCAGCCGGTGGACAAAAAACAACATGATGGAATTGGTTCTCCGTGCGTTGATGAGCACGTCAAGCTGTACAGGGAGTGAAGATCTGCTTGAGAAGTTGACTAATAACTACTACTCTACCCACACTCTTAGTGAGCCTCTGTCCACTTGTAGTGGCATTGAATACTATCCACTCCTCAAATCTGGACATGAGATAACTGTGAAAATAGACTTCTAACATGGAACACTATGAGAAGGTCAATGATGATGGACGCGAGAACATTCATTCAGTTAATTCAGCATGGTTTGGCCTTTCAGACGTGGTCATTCTTTAGTGTTGTCGGTGACTGTTACGATGCGATGATCTGGTGTACACGATTATGTGACTTCCACGTAAAGCCTTATAGATTAGGAAGTTAAACCATGTCGAATCTACAATTTTAGGGCTAAGATTATTATTATAGCAGTACTAACAACGAAGTAGACCATAATTCTAAAAACTTACCCGTTGATGCTTTATGCCAATATCACAGTTTAGTTTTAATGTGAAATTAGGAAACACTTTTTGTTGATTTTAGAAACTGAAAAGAATCCCTGGATATCTTTATATGTGTATGTCTGTCTATTTTGAGACAATCTAACACCTGGGCAAAACTATCAGAATAGAGTTTCAGCACTTAGGTATCACTCATATTGATGCGTTAGGTTCCTCTTCTATTTAGAGGTCTGTAGACAAAAATGCATGCTTTTTCTTACGGTTTCTACCCAGGATATTATATAACTTAAACTAGAACCACTAAGAGCTGTTTTCAACTCCTAGCCAAAGCCTTACCTAGAGAAACGTCTGTGTAAAGTTCCCTTACCTTGAGAATGATACCGCTCTCTTGGAAGGAGTTCAAATTAAAGCACATTTAAGTATGTTAAAACCCCACTCAGTAAGCCTAAAAATCCTTGCAACCCGTGCCAAAGCGTTAAGAGGGATATAATCTCGATGTATTGTAACACCTATAATCCACTTCTTCAAGACAGATCGCTCATATGGGATGACGCACTAACGAGCTAGCCCGAAAATCCAAGCACACATTTTTTGTGTTCAAAGCCGGCAAGCTATCAAAAACCTCACGAGAAGTAGTACTGACAGCACCTCGAGGAAAAACTTTAACAATAGCCTGATGAGCATGTCTTCTCTGTTATTTTATAATCACCTTCCATCGTCAAGAATGTTCTCCTACCACTCAGGAGAAGATCCTCAGGAAAAACAAGATAAGCTTGAATTTATGACGTCGAAAAATGTTTTCAGTATTTTCCCTTCACGAACAGTCATTTGATTCCACTAAGCACAGTTCTAGGTGTAAGTAATCAACTATTCAAACCTACTGCTTGAAGGATTGATGTTCGAACCTTCTGATGAATCAATAAAGAAAACATTATAAATCCATCAAGGATTTGTGCGAAATGAGTAAAACAAGCTGTTAGTGTTTAGATTTCATTATACAAATTTGATCTGTACAGGTGCACCAGGTTCACAACCTCGAGTTTAACAATCTTGAGGAATCCATATGGTGCTCTGTAAGGTTGTCTAGTACTTCCAGGTGTCTAGTCGGAGTCATTTACAGGAAGCCAACTGCCGACACCGAGTACGATAGTCGTATGCTGGAAGGACTATCCCGCTCTATCCGTCTCGGTTTCACACACATCCTGATTCTAGGGGACTTTAATCTCCCTAGAGTCAACTTCGCGGAACACACGTACACTGGAGGCGACAACTCAACTGAAGCTCGGTTCTTCAACCTCATCGATAACTTGGGCTTATATGAAAATGTGAGGTCGGCAACTCGTTGGAGAAACAGTCAGACACCATCGCGCTTAGACTGTGTATTCACTAACGAAGAATTCCTAGTCGACAACCTCTCAATCCAGGCTCCTCTGGGAAAGAGCGATCATGCCGTCATAGCCTTCAGTTTTGTCATCAAAACTAAGCTAAGGTATCCCAACAATAATTTGCGTTGGAATTTTAAACGGCTGAATGTGCCAGCTCTACATGACTATCTACAACAGGTGTTTTGGGATGTTCACCCTCAACTCGATGTGGATGGTCATTGGGACTACTTACTGCACACGCTCTTATGTGCTACAGACCATTCAGTTCCTCAAACGGTTCCCAAAAGCTGCAAGCCACCTACAGTAATCAAGAACCGTACCCTTCGCCTGCTAAGCCGCAAAAGACACTGTTGGGCGGAATACAAACGAACTAATAACGATGGAGCGTATAGGCAATATAAACATATCAGGAACATATGCACGAAGGCTATAAGAGAAGACAGGCTTCAGTACCAAACAAAGCTTATGGACAAGTTCGCCTCTAACCCTAGAAGCCTATTCCGTTACGCAGCCTCTCTTCGTCAAGCCAAAACAGGAGTTTCTCAACTGCTAGGTCTTAACGGCCCGACCAACAATGATGGCGACGCCGCTAACCTTCTGGCGGCACATTACTCTCAAACATTTCAACCGGCTGACATCAACTTTATTGACGACAGTTTCATCTGCAATTCCACAGGACTTTCTGAAGTGGACCTAAGGGCTGACTTGGTGTTCCGGAAACTGCAGCACTTAAGACTTGACACTTCTCCTGGCCCGGATATGGTTCATCCTGCCATACTGAGGGAGGCAGCCTCAATCCTGGCAACGCCGCTTAGCGTGATGTTTTCACACTCGCTTAGCCGAGGCAAATTACCGGAAAATTGGAAGTTGGCTCACATCACACCAATTTTCAAAGGTGGTCGACGCAATGAACCTTCAAGTTATCGGCCGGTAGCTCTTCTGTCGTTACCTTCAAAACTCATGGAGTCCCTGATATGCGACGGTTTAAATGACTATCTACTGTCCTTAAATTTCTTCTCACCCCAACAGCATGGTTTCAGGAAGGGTTACTCCTGTATAACCAACCTGCTGACTGCGGTGGACAGATGGACAAGCATCCTCGATCGCAAGGGAAAGGTTGATGTCATTTACCTTGATTTCTCAAAAGCTTTTGATAAGGTTAACCACTTGTGTCTTATCAACAAGCTCAAACGACTAGGTATCAAACCACCTCTAATCGACTGGCTTACTTCATACCTAAAAAATCGACACTTTAAGGTTAGGGTTAATTTGACTTTATCTCAAGCTATGGAATGTCCTAGTGGGGTCCCCCAGGGCTCAGTACTAGGGCCTCTTCTCTTCTTGATCTACATAAATGATCTTCCTCAACAGGTAACGTCAGACTTATTACTTTTTGCCGACGACGTGAAACTTTGGAGAGAGATACGCAACCAAGACGATATACAGGCACTTCAAGAGGATCTGACTCGACTTCAAAGTTGGGCAGACGATAACGGACTTACCTTACTTACCTTCACACTATGATTTACCAATATCTTTTCCTCTTTTATTGTTAACATACCTAGGTTCCTGCCTGGAGGATTTGGTGATCCCCTGCTACTAGACACGGAAGCCTGTTAAGCGAAAGCTTCTTCTATTCCGTCCACAACCATTTGAACCATTTGAACAATATTGGACCTTGGTTGTCCTTCACAAATATAGAGGGAGTTTGTAATCGTTCTCGATCCCATTCTTGGGGTACTTTTGTCTTCAGTTATTTAGATCAATGAATATAGGTGCATGCTACGTGCTTAATGAGTCATCGACTCACTTTTTGTCCTTATTTTCGTCTACAGATTTTTTCATATCTGTGTGCTAGGGATCACTATCCCTCAACGTAGCACAAAGCTATAGCCTTTTTGTATAGATACGAAGAATTACCAAAAGTTGAAAGTTAAACTTTAATGTCTGGTAGATAGAGATAGTCGAGTACACTTTAATGTCTTCCTCAAGATCCAATACTATCGCAAAATTTCAAACAAATCTAACAGTTTTGAGAGACGTTCTGGCCAATGAAAATGCAAAATTTGGGGAATCATTCGTCCCATAAAAAAATAAAATCTCAAGGGATGATGTATTTTGACATGGATAAGCTGGATTTCCAATGGGAAATGAGATGCAAAAATTAAATTTCAGACGACCTACTATCTCTACAACAGGAGACTGAATAGTGGATTATTTCATATAGTCTACGAGAAAGGATCGGGGTAAAAATTCTAGTCAATATTAGGCGTTAAGATTTGGAATTGTGGTTATTATTTTCATCAAGAAACAGGCATCGACGATCTGACGTTTAAATTTACCAAACCCGTCTACTAAGAATTTTTGGCTTGTAGCCATAATGATGAGTGAGTTTTGTAGAAATATCCACGAGGCAATGTTGAAAATTTGTCTTGCTCTTAAAATATTGTGCCACCTCAAAGGCATTCAGTCTACTTTGAAAAATTCCTATCGACCAACACATCTTTTATTTGTTTCGTTGAAAAGCTAATAAATTTCTCGTCATTCTGATAACCGCGCATATTTGTTTTTCTCCTCTTGTCTTGTCCTGCCTGTGAATTTTCTGCGTCTAGAAAAACTCAGCTAATTCTGCTGAGTATTAACTCTGATCGTGAAATATTGCCAGCTACCAGCTGTTGTTTTTGAAATTCGATGATTGGACTGATCCTCTGCATTAGATTTCTAGGCTCTTATAAGCAACGTAACTTCGTGACAATACCAAACGCTTTGGTAGATGTATTAAAGATAAACACTTTCCATCGTGCATGGACTTCGTTTTATCTTCTCGTAACAAGTGATTTTCTACTCATTTCAGACCAATTTGAAAATCCTGTTTACAAGTTGTTGGTTTCCAACCCGTTTATAATGGGATTTTTCAAAGCATGCTGTGTAAAATCTCCAGAGTTACTCTTGATTCTTAACGGTCCGGTAGATCCTCTTTGAAATCGGATTTATTGCTTGGGCTAAGTGCTTTATCTTTCTAATCTACCAGTATGGTCGACTGAGTGACATTTAAAATAGTTTTCAAAGAGCAGCTACGTCACATACAACAAGATTCCTGCCTGTATTTAGTCAGAATTCCATTTTCATAAGAGAAAGTTTGTTGCCGTCGCACTCGGCGTCACAGTACATCATAAAATATTTGCTAACCTGCCGTTCTCAACAGACTGCGGCAATTTATTCAACCCGGCGTCAAGTGCTACTGTTCTCGCAGTTCGAAAAAAGCCACTTGTTGCAGTTTGTTATTACCAATGTCGTATTTGATATACGTCCTTGAGACTGTACATATTAGGTCTTTGCAAATCGTCTGTACTACTCAACTTGTTTTGTAAGATGATCGTTAATACAGAAAGCTTTTAGTTTTGCTTAAAACTCGGAATTATGTATCCCGTAATATTTAAGTCAAACGAAATCTTGTTATTGTATTTTATCCCTTCGATGATATTCACGTACTATGTAAAGCTACTCAAAGTCAACCAGATGTGTGCCAGCGCTATTCGGCCCCTAAAGCCCAAGAAAAAAAATTAATGTTGCAGCGTACTGTCTATTATTTTCCAGTTACTGTTATCGTCTTATGAAGTTTTTGTTTTCCTGATTGGTATCGGACTTTCAGCCCGCAAAACTTTTTATACAAACACGTAAGTTTATACAGTACAGAGACTAATCCCGTTTAATTCCTCTTTGCTGCTTGTAAGAAATTCTTTTCGATTGCCGAACAGTACTTTTGCACTTTTAGATAGTGTACAAATCATTCTCTGGTATGTCGCGAACTACAACCTGTCATGAATTTTTATCACTTCGAATTGGCGCACGTAGTACATACCTTAAACACCTGGGTGGGTTGAAATTCTGCACAGCACCCTAACCTTAGCCTTAATATCCCCTAACTGGACTTGAAATGCTGAGTAACATTGAGAAAAGCAAAAACATGCAGACCAAAACACTAGATCGGCATATGAAGCTACTGACTGTTGGTCGAAATGAGTAAGCTTCTTGATCAGTATTCGTCCAATGGGCACGATCTATTGTTAGGTCCGGGTTCAAAACTGATTATAGTGATGCAGTTGTATATACTGCATATCTTACAAATCTGATATACCATCCCATGAATTTTCTCGTGAGTTATTTTTTATTGTTTTTGAGATGAACTTCTTACTTCTAGTTTTCTATTGCCATTCACGTATGATCATGATCTTGGTAGTTTCCTCTCTGTGATAAAATTTGGCATCTTGGAGTGATACAAATTTGCGACAAGTCCTACGTCGTTATTGACTGACCATGTGTGACTAAACTGTATTATAGTTTCGGAAAGACTTGATTTTATTTGGGCATGAATATCTAGTGATAAGCCACAAGATATACACTAGTCAAGCGTGATCTATTATGACAATTTAATTATCGAATAGCTCCGTGTTCAGGGGTGTGATTCCAAAGTGTTTTATTGTGTAATAGTAATTATGTAGCATCTTAGCTTACAATCATCTTACAGATTTTATACCATGATTCCCTAGGTAATGCAGTGTACAAGGTTGATCCCAAGTTCTTTAATTTCTAACAAATCACAATCAATAAGAACTATCAATGTAGCAATGGGACCTTTAAGGTCTCGTCAGAAAATTGCCTTTAAGACAAGATACCACTGGATGTTAGACTTAAAAAAAAGCAAAGCTCGTGCAAAATACCCTTGGATTCCCAGGTACGATATCTTAACTTCTTAATTTTAGTTTTCAGGGAACCAACAACATCCATGGAAATATATGGTCAAAAAATTATTTTTCCTGAAATGTACTTAGATTTTATTGTACCTAACAACTTGGACAAATGTGAACTAAAACCTTACGTTTCATGGCAATCGAAGCTAATTGAGGAAGGACCACTAACAGCTGAAGTATTATTTAATAACAGATATTCACAAAAAATAACTGAAATGTTTAAAAATGGTGCAAGTAATGAAGAAATTATGGAGTACTTGAAGAACACGAATTGTTAATAATAAATAAATGAAAAATTATCTTGTTGATTTGAACTGTATCACATTTTGTAGCTTCGCTGACTTATAATCTGTTCTGAGTTGGATGAAGTTCATCAACAAATCTCTTGGCATTCCTGACTGCAAATAATCTTGAACAACTTGTTGTACGTTTTCTGGCTTAATTAACATGAGATTCATCAGCTTAAACAGTACATCGAAAACAACATTAACAGTTGGACTCTCAAAATGCTTTGCGGTTTCTCGGTAGGCGGTTACATCTTGCATTGCAACAAATCCACCTGAAAAATGACAATTTAGTTCACAACTTGTATAAAATAACAACAGCTGTTTTAGAGAATAACTGAAAAGTAAACTACCATAAATGAATAAGTAGGCAAGTAATATGCCTTTATGCAGAGGTAAATTTCAAAATTGTAATTCACTGTTATGTTTGGACACTCCAAAACTTAACAAATTAGCGTACTTTAGGTCAGATGTTCGAATGCTAAATATAAAGTGCTGAACAATGTATCTCTGATTAGGCTGCTTAGCTACACTTGGTGGTAGCTGTAATTCATAGTAAATGCTGTACTGATGTTTGACTACATGTAAGGTTCTGTAAACTGTTGTATTTACGAAAAGTGCAGACCTAAGTTAATTTGTTGCACAACCTAACCTTGAAAGCTTTGAAAACTTTCATGAAAGACTAAGCATATAGTGCTTGTATATAACAAAGATACGTGCGGTTTTCGCCGTTTGTGGAAAATAAACTTTGAACAACAAACTTTCTCGTCATCAATTAAATAGACCTCGTCTCATAGATCTCTTCAATTCCTTGACATATATATGTATCTGACAGCAGATTGAAGTCACTAACTTCTTGTCTTAGCCATGTTGGCAGATGAAGATTACTTGATTCGGGTCCGCGCGACTATCGTAACCAATGTTTGGAGACTGGGTGACATGGCTCAGAATCCATCACAACTTTGTAAGTATATACAGATTAAAACTGCTTTATACCTTTCTTTCTACGAACTAATTCTTTCTCCCTGTATCATATCCTTATGTGCAATCTTCCTTTTATATATTACTACCATTGAAATAACTGCTGAGAATTTGCTGTTCATCCTGTGCTAATGAGATGTAGCAACTTGGACCGACCTATAAATATGTCTAGTCCTATGTTGTAGGTGCCTGACTGACAGAAGAGGTCTCGACAGACAAAGTTTTGCAGCGTATGGTACTAAACATTTAAGAATTACGCCAGATCATAATAATCTGAGCCATAGTTTATGGCTCCACACAGTCTGAAATTCGTAATGTACCAGCTACTCAAATTCTGGTCAGCTAATAAAAGTATTGGTAAATATTCCGTAGAATTGATAGTCTGAAATAGAACTAAGGATACGCTGAAGAGATCGGGGTCAGAAAAGGCTGTCTACTCTCTCCCTTCCTCTTTATTCTGGTGGTCGACTGGATTATGAAGACCTCGACATCTGAGAGAAAACACGGAATACAATGGACGGCTCAGAACCAATTAGACGATTTGGACTTTGCAGATGACCTAGCCCTCCTATCGCATACACATGAACAAATGCAGATAAAGATAGTCAGTGTAGCAGCAGTCTCTGCATCGGTAGGCCTCAACATACACAAGGGGAAAACCAACGTCCTCAAATTCAAAACGGAGAACAGCAATCCAATCACTCTTGATGGCGAAACTCTGGAAGATGTAGGATCGTTCACATACCTCGTAAGCATCATCGATGAACAAGGAGGCTCGGATGCAGACGCAGAGGCGAGGATCGATAAAGCAAGGGTCGCATTCCTACAATTGAAGAACATATGGAACTCAAAACAACTTTCAACTAATATCAAAGTGAGAATCTTCAATACCAACGTCAAGGCAGTTCTACTGTATGGAGCTGAAACTTGGAGAACTACAACAACCACCATCAAGAAGGTACAAGTATTTATAAATAGCTGTCTACGTAAGATACTCAATATCCATTGGCCGGATACCATCAGCAACAGCCTTCTGTGGGAGAGAACAAACCAGCTTCCAGCTGAAGAGGGAATTATGAAAAGACGATGGAAATGAATAGGACATACATTACGCAAATCATCAAACTGCATCACGAGGCAAGCCCTAACTTGGAATCCTGAAGGGAAACGGAACAGAAGAAGGCCAAAGAACACATTACGTCAGGAAATAGCAGATATCGATAGGATGAATAACAATTGGAAAGAGCTGGAAAGGATTCCCCACGATAGGGTTGGGTGGAGAATGCTGGTAAGTGGCCTATGCTCCTTCACGAGGAGTAACAGGCGTAAGTAAGTAAGTATATATATAGTTTCTTAGAGTAACCAGTTTTGATAATAATAAAACTAATAAATTGAATAATTACTTCTTTTGAATGGTCGCAGATGTAGTAATTAGGTTAATCAATATAGATTGAAAGGAATAGAAATCCCATCTCTTAAAGAAACATTGCCTTGCTTCCATTCAAACAACAAGGAACTGGACATGAGTATATATCAAATTAAAGTATTTATATATATAGCGTAATAAAAAATTGAACGAAACTGAATAAACTACAGCATAACTTCGTAGCTTAGTATTTTCTAAAGTTAACAGGAAGAAATCGTACATATGAAACTAAGCATTAACACTCAATTTCGATCCGAGTACGTTCGATCAACATCTTCCTACATAAAGTTTTTTGAAATCGTGAACCATGTACTCCAATTAAAAAAAACCCTCCATTTCATCAAGTTCCGAACTTAATTTGTTCTGGAAAATTCATTTTTCTTATGCACCCGAGTAAAATGCACAGCAGACTCCTTATTCTTTAGAAAGTTAACATTCTATTATGTTGCATTTTGATTTACGTAGGACCTTTGCTCAGATGATGAGAAAGTTTATGACAAGGATGAGGTGGCTTCTTTCTACAACCAGTAGGTCGTTACTATAAATATTTACGTGTCCTTTTCATCATTTCACATGAAATCAATAGCTCTGAAATACGAGACTATTTCATTAAATTTTTCAGATTAATTTAGAAGAGAAAAAGGATTCTATAGCATGAATGAATATTTACCTGTGTCAGAAAAGGTAAAGTTATAAAAATGATCTACCAATGTGCGATTTAGTTTCATTCCAAATTCATGTAAAAATGTTTTTAAATTTTGACCATCTAGGTGTTGATGAGTCTCGCGGTTGATGTGGGTTACGAAAGCAACCACATGTTGACATGCCTAGCATATTGTTAAGAAAAATAACGTTTAGCAACAAATCGTAGTATTTCGGAGTGATACAAGCTATGGGATAAAAAGGGTCCGTAAAAAAAACAAACCAATGAGGAGAGAACACTACGTTCGGTTCTTTAACTAGATATGGAGAGATTTATAGCACAACCGAATTCTAGTAAAATAGGGGACTTGAAAAGTGCACTACGCAAACGAAGTAATAACATTATGGCGAAATAAGAAAAAATCGTACAATCAGCTGATAGGTGAACAAGTGTAACATTTAATAAAAATACTCACATAATTAAAGTAACCGATTGAGTTACTGAGTAAAAATAAAATTCTTTTCAATGAAGTCGTCTAATTAAGCTGTACATTTATATTTATAGTTGTTTGATAAATATAGGAGTCTATAGAGGGATAGAAGAGATCGAATTATAAAGTGATCCGGGATTTCAAATATTACATAGGGTTGAATAATGATCAATAGATTGAAGAAGAATAGGAGGACGAAAATAATGTACGGATCAGAAACATAAGAGGTAATTGTCCACTTAGTAGATAATAATCATGGAATACTGTTAGAGGATAGTAATAACTGATTAAGGTTTAAAAATTACAAATGAAAACAAAACTAAAACACACTGGAAAAAGAAATCAAAGCCAAGAAAGGATGAGAGGTTGGGCGCATCGTTTTTGCAAACAGAGTTCGAACTTAAATTTGGGGATTCCCAGCGCCTCAACACTACATAAGTTTTTGATTCGACTCATTTCAACTGTATGGATTATTTTAAAGGACGACTCCTCCAGAGCGACAATAACTAGGGTCGATCAGGCGCTCCTATATCGACCAAGTGGTAGCTTTTCATTCCCCTTTTAAAAACTACGACAAGTAATGTTTTGAGACGTGTTTGCTTTGTGCGCCCAGTGTAACCTGCCTCGCAAAAGCCAGTAAATTTATGGATGCACATCGGTATGGCCCCAAGCCGAAGTTTATCCTTAACACGTTCGGGAATGATAGGGCGACTTGTGAAGGCAATACGAAGCTTGACTGAATAGGTTTTATTCAGGGATTTTGAAATCCGTTTATCCAAGATTTCAGAAACTATAAATCACCTAAATTCGATATTAATAAAAATTTTTTGTTAGAACTATCGGTGGCTTGGTGTTAAGTTTCTAGCAATCAATCTATGTGGATAGCTATTTCTGATGAGTATCTATCGAAGTTGGAGTAGTTCGTCATCTATTTTGCTATGATAGTATATTCGTCTAGCCCTCGAGGATAAGTGAATTAAGTTTCTCCAACCAAAGAAACTAATATATTAACTACTTGAAGTCGGTTTTAAACATGTACATTTTCATAAGGAACTATCTGGCCTTTTTTCAACAAGACAACAGAAAAACTGAGGTTCCGCGTTAGTCTCTGCTTTTAGTGTCAATTTAATTGAGTGGTGACAATTACTAAATTGATCCAAGATTTCATTGAAGTCCGTATCTTCTCCACAATTTCTTTTCCACGTCATATCTGACAATGTCCCAATCCACTGAGTCACACCATCTCTAGGACCTCGAAAAGAGAGTCGTGATGGGACGAACAGATACCAGCCCCACACGCCTTTCTTCAATAATGTGGCACCATATCATAAACTAACCACCTTTCAGTTTGTTTTACATTGTTCCTATATGTTCCTTTTCTACTCTTTTGTATGTTGTTTTATACTACTTATTTACATTCAGTAGGCAGCTGTATACCCAACAATTTTCACACTTATGTTGTAACTCAAGTTGTACTGTAACATTCTGGAATGTTCACATATATCTTTAATGTTTATTTTACTTATAATTGTATTTATCATTATAATCACTGTAATTTAATTACTGTAAAGGTTATCCACAGTTTTATGCATTTGTTTGAATGCAACAGTTTCCATATTGTTTGCTCTTGGTTCGAGTTTCGGTTGTTCATAAACTGTTACCAAATTTAGACACAGCTATCGGCTGTCTTTGGACTATCGTATGTTGTAATCATTCTTTATGTTACTCTTACAGGAAGCCTTTGCTATTTTCATTCTTGAACGACGCGTTTAAACGCCTAGACACCTCACAAGTTGAGGTTTGTAACTAAATTTTGTGTATTATTTAATAAAGAACCGCTTTTGTAGACAAATCGTTGTTTTGGAACTTCGATTTTGCGCGTATCTCAATCGGGGTTATTTGGACGCTTCGATAGAATTAACACCACCTTTCTCCTTTTTCAAAGCGTCCTAGGGTCAACGAGCAACAAGTGGTGGTGGGGGTTCGCAGGGATAATGTTCGTAAAATATATCCAATCCTCCGAAGTCAGTTTCTTAACATGTTGGCATCAAAATAATGACCGTCACTGCACCCGAACATGCGTTACCTGACCTCGGGACTGCTAAAAATTGGTCTTGTTATCGGATGTGAGAAACACCTTCAAGACAATAATCAGATATCCCCATCTAAGAGGAGCTAGCTTTGATAAACATCGGTTATTCAGTCAGTTACAACGTAGGACCAGGCCGTTGTTGCTACCTCGATGTGATGATCAGGCTTGCCTATCGTGATGAAGCAACCGAGCTATACTGGCTGGAACAACCGTTCCTCTAGGTCCTACTATGTCAGACAGGTCAGTTGAAGAGCGGCAAGACTAAAAGCAACAAACCCAAGGTCCGAAGGCGAAGTCGTACTGCTGACTGTACAGAGGTGTGACAGCAGTAATGTGCTTTCCTCAGACAACCAGCATGACAACGATGCTGCCTTCCCACAAGGAGCGATGGGGTTAGAAAAGGTCGATCCTAAAAATGCACACCTCGCCTTATCCCACGGACATCCGTCTCCGGCGATAAGATCTCAACAAGTACGGAGCTAACACGAAAATTACTCACAAAAAGGTCGTGTGTGACTGACCTCAAGCAATTGTTCCGTGTCATTCCCCCAAATGCCCTGGTACGGCCGAGAGTGGGGAGAGTCCGCTGTCCCTCTCGAAATGCTCTCATATGGCCACGCGTATATAGCCTCTGCCAGGCAAGTCCTACTCACTGCCTTCTCGTGGCATTTCTGTTGTTTACGAAATTGAGAGGATGAAAAGCGAATGTCCGGCGCTTTAACCGTGTTGGTGGACATGGAGAGTCCACCTAGGGGAGTTGGAAAACCCTGATTCCAAACCAACGGTGCACATGGGCTCCAGTATCCTGAAGGAACAAATGGCGTATGAACCAGTTCCTTGGTCACCGGCTACCATAGGACTGCATCTCCTTACGATGCTCCACTGCCTTGTGGATCAGACCTTCAGGTCAAAGGCTCCGGGTGTGGCCCCCCAAGAAAACCTGCTTCGGTTCGGGCACCCGGGCAGTATCACAGCCCTCTCACATATGAAATGAGTGTGGCGCATATGTATTTGGTGCCTTCTTGTACCAATGTGTTAAAAATAATAACTCAGGTAACTAAGACCACCTCTAATCCAATTTCCTTTTAAGGTACCTCCAGAAGAACCCTTCCACGGTGTGTGCAATCAGAAAGTGATAACCGCCCTCATACTTCTGACAGCACTCAAGACCACTTTGATAAACAGAGCAGAACTGTCCTTACTGATGTCCTTTATACACGACCTCCTACATTTAAACTAAAACAACAACTCCAAAGATAGTCTAGATTGACATAGAGTGCTGTGATTTCCACTATACATAGACTGGATTCATCTGTCGTGTCACCACTAGCATACGTATAACTACCTAGATATCCACACCTCGTCTAGTTCTAAAGAATCACTACAAAGAACTGGTACAGACACAGTATTCTGTCAGTTTTGCAAGCTGAAGGTGCAGAATACATGCCATGCTTACGTAGACCGATAGTCATCCGATCAAGTACAATCAAGATACCTTAAGGATAATCGTATAGCACCATCCGCGTATTCAAAGTCTGAAAATTTCTCCACGTAACATACCCACATCACTATTACCAAATTCCATCACAGCTGTTTCCAGAATGTTATCAAAGGCAAAGTTGAGGAGTGGCAACTTTAAACAACTTTACATAACTACACTGTCGGAGTGGAACAGCGGAGAGGTGTTAGTGTGCAGCACCTTATAATAAAGCGTATTTTGATCGGATTTTATGAGTCAAATACTCATTATTAAGTGGAAAGTGAAACAGCAGAAAACTTAGTTAAATATTGCTTAGAATAACTCGTAAACAAACTACTAGCCAGGAAACTTACAAGCGATGGTGGATTACCGGCAATTATTCCTGAGTTAGCATTTATATCTGGGCGAAAATCAGTTTTTCGCTGTTCACTGGATAATAGATATTGGACACGAGAAATAGCCAGATTTAGACACTTTTCTAAGCCAGTACAGAATTTGCCTTCCAAATCTTGTTTCAATTCGTTACGTTTGACAGATATTTCACTTGCATATGATGGGTTTGTACTGAAATAAACATAATATTAATTGCATCTAATTTTTCAAGTGATCTAATGTAAAAATTAAACACAAATATCTTGTTCCAAGGAAATTGTTATTGTACAACATAACATGTAAAGGGCATTAACAAGACACACTACTACTAATATTAATAAGATGAAAAAGAGGAACAATTGGAAACCTGGAAGCACTGGACTTCCGTTTCTTCCTATTATAGGACTCCTCAGCGGTACGCACCCACAATCCTACACGCAGGATTCGAAATCAGGACCTTCAGATTCGCGTTTGAAGGCTTAACCTCTAGACCACTGGGCCTGAATCCAACAGTGCTAACGCCTAACTTCGTCTACTCACTAGTGACTAGCTTCGAGAGGTCACTCTCGGAGTCCTGAGAGTTGAAGGGTATTTATTTAGAAGAGTTATGATGCCTCATAATGAAAGCCGAGATTCTTCAGAAATCACGTGGCCGATGCAGAGCAGGAACTAACATCAGAACACGGAACGTTCACATACAGTGGGAGATCGGAAAGGCTATTCAAATAGAAGCGGAAATGAGAAGATAGAACCTGGTGGTGCTTGGTTTAATTGAAACCCACTTCATGCAAGCTGGACAGAAAATAATAGCTTCGGGAGAAATGATGTTGTATTCTAGTGATGAAGAAAATGCCCCGCATACGAAAGGAATTGCATTGATATTCTCCAAAGAAGCGTGAAAAGTGCTAATAAGATGGGAAACTCATGATTCTAGAATTATCAAAGCATCCTTCAAAACAGAGAGGGAAGAGTAAGTATGAGAATTACAAGAACATCACACTACTACCGGTACCACGAAAAGTTTGCAACAGTGAAAGTCAAGGCACAAACTGAATACACTAAAGCAAACAAAATAGTGAAGAGCAGCGTTAGAACCGACAAGCAGAAATACGTGGGACAGCTAGCAATGACGGCGGAAAAAGCTGCAAGAGGAAATATGAAACAACTATATGAGACGACAAAGAAACCAACAGGGAAATATAGTAAACCAGAGGTACCGACCAAGGACAAAGAAGGTAGGTCAATCACTGAGACTCGAGAACAGATGGGTGGGGCACTGAGGAACTCAAGAATAGACCAACCTCACACAACCCGACGGACATGGAAGCAACATACACAGACTACCCTATGGATGTTACTCCAGCAACGACCGAAGTAATCAGGATGGCCATCAGACAAATCAGTTGGAAAGCACACGTTTAACCAGATAACATACCAGCCGACTCACTCAAGTCATACATAGAAACAACTGCAAACATGCTTCGTGTTCTATTCAGGAAGATTTGGGACGGAGCACAAATGAGGACAGACTGGACAGAAGGATATCTCATCAAAATATCAAAGAAAGGAGATCTGAACAAATGTGAAAACTACAGAGGCATCACACTACTGTTAGTACTAGAAAAGCTTTTCAACAGTTTTGTTGATCCGGATGAGAGATTTAGTAAACGATCAGCTTCGAAATCGACAGACCGGATTCCGTAGGGACCGGTTGTGTACACACCGAATCGCGACACTACGAATCATTGTGAACAATAAATTGAACGAAACTTGTCACTATACAACAACTTACTTGACTATGAGAAAGCATTTGACACTGTGAATAGGAGAATTTTATGGAACCATCTTCGACACTATAGAGTGAGTAGCTGAGAAAATCGTCAACATCATGCGGGATTCATTCATACGACGGACTACATTGCAAAGTCATGCATGGAGGACAGCTGACAGATGCATTCCAAGTGCGGATCGGAGTTAGACAGGGTCGCTTACTCTCGCCCTTCACTTTCTTTTGATGGTTGACTGGATTATGAAGATCTCAGAATATAATGTACAGCTTGCATGCAACTAGACGATTTTGACTTCACAGATCCTATACACAACAAAAAATGCAGGTGAATACGGCCAGTGCAGCAACAGTAGGCCTCAATTTATACAAGGGAACAAACAAGATCCTAAAATTCAACACAGAGCACCAACCAGATTGAACTTGTTGGAGATCTGGGACAGGTGGAAACTAACGTACTTGGACAGTATTACTGATAAACAGGGGGGATCTGATGTAGAAGTGAAAGTACGGATTGGCAAAGCAAGGGAAGCATTCCTTTAATTGAGAAACATATTGAAATAACGCTGGGTTTTTTCCCTTACACCAATGGAGCAATAATTTCCCTTAGACGAATGTCTTCACTAGATACCTTTCCAGTGCCTGTTCTACAGGATTTCAACACAAGTCGGATCAGGAACACGTGACGAGCATGACTAAAACGTGGGTACATTTCCACGTCAACAACTAAAAATAGAAATAAGAAGGGTAGGAAAATATTTAACACATCTAAAACCTGTCAAACTATCTACAAATCTGACTAGACAAAAAATAATCACCGTTTTCCTCGCCCACATATCAACATAGGACTTAAAACAACTGTCACAAAACACCAAAGTGAAAAATCCCAATACAAACATTAAAACAGATTTACTGTACGGAACTGAAGCGTAGAGAACCACTACAAACATTACCAGAAAAGTACAGGTATTTATGCACAATTACCTATGCAACATACTCTAGATCTGTTGGTCGGATAACATCAGCAACAACCTACTGCGACAGAAAACAAACCAACTTCCAGATGAAGATGAAATTAGGAAGCGGATAGGACATGCATCGCAGAAATCATCAAACTACATCATGAGGTTAGTCCTTACTTGGAATCCTTAAGGTAAAAGGAAAAGAGGAGGACCCAAGTACACATTACGTCCGGAATCGGCGGTAGACATCAAAGGAATGAACAGCAACTGGGAACAACTAGAAAGGAGAGCCCAGGAGAACCGTGGTCATCGGTCTACGCTCTTATGAGGGGCAAGTGGAGTAAGTAATTAAGTAATAGTTCCGAGTTTCTTTTTAGTCAATCAATTCTAGTCTCTGGTTTACTAAACATTCATAAGGTTTTTATTGTTCCAGTTATCAGGTCAAAATAAATCACTCAACTTAGATAAACAGTGTCAGAATGCCACTGAATTCAAGATAGTGGATGATGCAAATTTTGAATGACATTTATCTATACTGTAGTACTAGTCTGTATCGTCAGTCAGTCAGTCAGTCAGTAACAACGTAGAACTTCGTACGTACGTACATCAGTTCGAGTTGCCACACCACATTAGCACAGAGATGCAGTTGTCGATTCAAATCCCGTAGTGGTAGAGGTAATAAGAGTATAAGCAGTAATCGGGAAGATTAGGGTTTGGAGATGTTGTTTAAAGAGTATAATCCAGTGAAATAAATTTGGAAAGAGGAAAAAAGGGACATGAAGAATTCAGAAGATTAGAATTTGGGAGAACACAGAGAGTGGATGCACCTGCGCCATTGCAAACGATTTTGAGCCATGTCATTCAGGGTCTCTAACCATCGGTTGCTATCATCTCGCGGTCCCCAACCAGGTAGTCTACACCTACCAACATGACTCAATCCACTTGACAGTGACTTCATGGATTTGTGCCATGTTTTGGTCTGGCCGCCCCTAGCTTTCTTCCAATCTACTCCTAAACCATTGAACATCACACATCGAAGCAGTCGGTGGTTGGGCATACGTAGCACGTGTCCCAGCCATCTCAACTGATGAAGTTTCCCTACTTCATCAATTGGTTTGCCATCCTTACCTAGTACCCGTTTCTTAACAACTACATTACTTACTCGATGGTCCCAGGATATACGAACAATATTTCGAAGACACCTATGATCGAATACTAGTAACCTACGGATATCCTATACTCTTACCGGCCATGTTTCACTGCCATAAAGTAGGACGGAACGAACTGCTGCACAGTAAACACGTCCTTTGGTTGATAGACGGATATCTCGCCTACGCCATAAATGACGCAAGTTGGTAAAAGCTAGTCGAGCCTTCTGTATCCGTGCTGAGATTTCGTCACACACCAGACCACAAGGGCTGACGAGACTCCCAAGATAAGGGAAGTGGTCGACACGCTCAACCACTTCACTCCCTATCATTAGTTCAGGTGTCGATGCAACCCAATCCTGAAGCAACATTTCGCATTTCGAGGGAGAGAATCGCATCTCGAACATGCTTGCCTTGTTGATTAGAGTGATCAGAAGACTCTGTATTTTGTCAGCATCTTCACCAAATAGAACTATGTCATCGATATTCTAAGTCAACAAAAGAATCTCCAGGCAAAACTACAACCCCTGGAAATTTAGATGAGGAGAGTGTTATCTCTAAAAGTACGTCGACCACAAAGTTGAACAAGAATGGAGAGAGTGGACAGCCCTGACGAACACCACTTGATGTAATCAATTCTGATGATAGTTCGCCATAAGCTCTCACTCTACCAGTTGTGTTCGAGTAGAGAGCCTTTATAAGGTTAATGTACTTCTTTGGTACTCCTTTCAGTGACAAACACTACCATAGAACCTCACGATCTACAGAGTCGAATGCCGCCTTAAGGTCGAGAAATACTACCATTGTGGGGCGTCTGAATGTGTGTCTGTGTTCTAGAACCTGACGTAGTGTGAATATTTGGTCTATACAACCACGTCCAGGTCGAAAACCATCCTGAAATTCTCTAGTCTGCTCTTCACGAGCTTTAGTTAGGCGTCGGAGTATTATTGAAGCTAATATTTTAGACACTATATTAGTCAAACTGATTCCTCTGTGATTGTCACAAGAGGACTTTTGTCCTTTCTTATAGACTGACACAATCAGTGATTGAGACCAGTCAGATGGGATTACGTCCAGTTCCCAAATTGTATCTAAGACCTCGGTTAATCTCATTGCGCACAAACGACTGTCTACTGGGATCCACTCTAAGAGAGCTAGTTCTGCCCTAGGACTCAATGCTATACCTACGCCGGCGAGGCCACGGGAAGCAGAATCAGGGCTTCCAGATACACGAAGCGTAAATTGAGTCGGTTCTTTATTTTGGCATGGTGAGGTCAAATGAATGACGCTACTTGGATCCTGTATGCGCGTTTCGGAGACGCAGCACACATCGATGGAGCGAGATTCTAAAGTCCTAGCTAAGGAAGCCTGCTGTCCTATTTGGCACAGTGTTCGTACGTTAAAAGCTCCTACGTGTAGTTTAGAGCTTGGTTTCAGGAGACCAGGAATAGCGTTCCGCGTACTCGAATCGTTTGCCCTAGCGGTGCGAGGTGATAAAGGGACGTGAGGAGGGTTAGTCATGGAGATAAGAGAGGTATTAGGAGGTGTAGGAAGGATTTGAATGTGACCAAATTGGTTTCGTGTGTTGTTACGGGTATGAGGGCTGATGTCACTTCCCGGCTGCCCACACCGTGGAAGGGTATTTCTTGAGGAACCTGAAAAGGAAATTGGATTAGTGTTGGTCTTAACGACCTGGGAGCGTGACCGCAGAGCCCAAGGGACAACTGCTTGAGGCCGGTCGCGCACGGCCTTTTTGTGGAAGGTTTTTGACGTGTTAGCTCCGTTCTTCAAAGGGTCTTACCACCGGAGACGGAAATCCGTGAGGTAAAGTGAGGTGTGACATTTTTAGGGTCGACCTTTTCTAACCCCACCCCTCCTTGTGGGAAGGCAGCATCGCTGTCATGCTGGTTGTCCGAGGGAAACACCTTACTGCTGCCACACCTCTCTACAGTCAGCAGTATGATTTCGCCCTCAGACCTTGAGTTGCTGCTTTTAGTCTTACCGTTCACCAATCGACCTGCCTGGCATGGTAGAACCTACAGAAACATATGTTCCAGCCAATATAGCTCGGTTGGGTCATCACGATAAGCAAGCCCGACCACCGCGTCAAGGTAGCAGCTTCGGTCGGGTAGTCTGTATCGACTGAAATAATACTCGACTCTTGGAGATCACAATGTCCTGACAATGGGAATATTATGCCGAAATTGATTTCGTAGTAAATCGCATTTTAAAATATACATAGTTGAGCGTTAAACTATGAGCTGATCTAATTAAATCAAAATAATACAGGGAGATAAAAATATTAAATCTTTCAAATATTTCCATCCATAATTGTAACATATTCGTGGACAAAATTTCTAAGTATGATACAAAGTTCCGAGGCAAGTAATGGAATTCAGAACGCACACTTCGTCCCATAGCATTACATTTTCTAGGGGTGTTCATAAGCCAATAGCCACTAATCAATTGTAGACTCCAGTATCAACAACAAGAAAATATAAATGTTCACAAATAATCTAAACAGTATTAGAAAAAGATAAGTTATTAGGTCATAGTCAACTAAAAAGACTCATACTTTCAAAAACTGAATTTATGTACTTTAGGTGTTTTTAAAAACTTTAGTGGCACAAAAAATTATTCAGAAAATACTCACATAATCATTGGTAAAATGGACTCATCAATTGTTTTCTCAAAAAAGTGAAAAATGGATGTGGCTTCGTGAATTATGGAGAAGAAGACTAGGTTTGGATTGTTATTTCGAGGATCGGCTATATTCAAACCTGATATTACAAAAAGTAAAAGCCATTCAAATATTATGTGCAAACAAGTATATGAAAATATGACAAAATTATACAAACTTGAGTATCTTACCTAACGATCAGTATAGAGTTGTGGAGGTTGTTGAGTTTTCATTGAGAATGAACCGATCAATGTTAGAGCATCATTGGAAACCTGGAAGCACTCGATGGCCGTTTCGCCCTTACTTCAAGTGGTTTATTTAAGAAATCTTTTTATGGACTTCTGAAAAGAACGATTGCTTCTGATTTAAGTTATATGTTTTAACTACGAATTTCTATTATCTCTGATCACAGTCGGTTAAGTGTAATGTACTGTACTAGGACTATTTGGCCTAGCATTTACAGTTATTTGTACCACTCTACTGTTTTTAAGAAACCCACATTGAAACCGTAATACCTAAGGTTTAAAAGCTTTTATTCACTACAACAAAAACGCCTTAATAAAATATACTTCCATTTTTACTACAGGTAGAATCGAAAATGTCTAACTAAAATGCAAAATACTAATACCAGTAGACTGACTAAAAAGCAGTGCATACGTAATTACGGAAATGGGATTTCGTGGAGACTATTCATCACGCATTTAGGCAAGCTGGGAAAGCATAAAAAAGATTTAGCACTAAGAAGCTGTTTTACCCTCAACAAAGTCTACACACTGCTCTACACAAAACCTAATACACGAAATTTCAGGCTTCGTAATCAGAACGATATATACGAACCACTTAATTGGAGTTCAATCGTTAACATTTCAAAATTCATTCAACCATATTTGAACTGAGGTAGATATCACCTATAACATTGGACAACTGTTATCGCGTAATACTGTGGATTGATTGAAATTGGGTATTTTTTTCATCCGATGAAAATCCGTGATCAAAACTGATTTCTAACGCTGATATGAAAATCCTCAAAAAGTTCATTATTATGAGGTTTGTAAAAGTTTTAGCTAGAAAAATAAGTGAGGATTTCGTTTTATTCCTATGTTTCATTCATTCTATACGAACCATACTCACTACGTTTAATTTTTTATTGCCAGTGATATAATTTCTTTTAGCTGTACTGACGACGATTAGCAACGTGAGTCGACACACATTTGTGATGCATTGTTTATAAATGACTGAATAAGTGATCGAGGACACTCTAATTTCGATTCAAAAGTACAATAGTAATAGTTATTTTTGTTTTTTTTTTAACCACTTGTAGCGTGAAACCTTGTTACTTTTACTATTTTATACGCCCTATTATAGTTTTAATCATTATTTATTGATTTAATATAATTCATAATGATCCATTTAGAGCTCTTTACAAATCTTAAAAAAAAAAACAAAAGTGAGATGGTGGAGAAGATTTGTAGCTCAGGTGGATGATTTTGATGGAGTTTTGTTCTCTGAGCTGGATGTTTTTGCTCAGAGAACAAAACTCCATCAAAAACAACAAAATTGTTTTTAAGATATAATAAGTTCACAGGATTTCTTCACTTTCTCTCCACCTACAGAAAAATTAATAAATTTAGTTAATTTAAAACGTGAATCTACATGGAAATCTTAATAAATGAGCTATTAATCAGTGAGCAGTATATTATTTGTTAGAATGGGGTTTTCCAGAATACTGGGAAATATGATTTTATTACATAACATAGTAGACACTTTTATTGGAAGTATAGTATTGGGAGCTCTTAAGAATATATTAATAAAGCTTGTAGAGGCTCAGAAAGGCTGAAAACACTATCCGATCAGCACTAAGTAAAAAATTCCTAGAAACATCTAGAAAAATTTATGTTTTGAGTGGACTGTTATTCATAAACGTATAAATAAGCTTTCTTTTGGCAAGTAAATTAACAGTGAACGCTCCTATCCTTACTTAATGCCTTTCGACAATGTTTAGTTCAAGTGGAGTAGTCTGAGGATAAAAAACAATATAGGAAGTCACCAGCAATCGTTCCAGTAGCAGATATATCATATAGGGAAATCATAAAGTATTTTTGAGTTAAACGAATAACAAGCTTATCCATACTTGTTCAATTAGTTGAGCGAGGTAACTAAAGCTAACTATTGACTCGCCATGAAAATAAAGGTTTATTGATTAAAACTCCCTAAAAATATTAATTCTAACCTCATTACAAACAACTCGATCCTCACTGATGGATAGTTAATTTAACGACTATTCCTACCCACTGCCCTCTGGTGGTGAGGGTGTTGTTTACGAAATCGAGAGGACGAAAAGCGAATTTCCGGCGCTTTAACCGGGTTGTTAGATACAGAGAATTCACCTGGGTGAGTTCGAAAACCCTGATTCCAAACCTATGGTGCACATGGGCTCCAGGATCCTAATGGAACAGATGGCTTATAAACCTATTGTTGATCATCGGCTAACATGAGACTACATCTCCTAACGTTGCACCAGTGCCTTGTGGACTGGACTTCTAGGTTAAAGGCTCGGGGGAGTGGTTCTCTAAGAAAACCATCTGCTTCCGTTTGGGCACACAGGCAGTATTCCAGCCCTCACAAATCGAATGACGAAGTGTGGAGCATAAATTTTTGGTGCCTCCTTGAACCAATGTTTATGTGTTTAAATAAATAAATAATGCATGGATGTGGCTGTAGGGAAAGAGACAAACTACAATGCTTTTTCATTGTTTCTCCAACTTCATGTAAAATATTTTTATCAGTATAACTGGGATCAGATTGTTTAATACATATAATGGAATTAAATCACATTTTTCTGATCAACTTTGTCTCTTCCTAATACTATTTAAAATCGATAACACGCAAATTGGGTTTTGTATGAACAGTTAGTACTCAAAGTACGTCCAACATAAACATCACATTTTTACTTTTTTCAAGGAAAAATGTATAGCCAGTAATTTTGCTTTGACTTGATAAAGCTTTTTGTCATTTAATAAATTCAGTACTTGTCTTTCAAATATGGGAAGCATTATTTTTGTGTAACAAACTATGTTCAGTTATCTATGCTAATTTGTAAAGTATACGTCAATAAGAAGCTGTATTTCGTTTTACTGGGTAAATATCCAGTGTAAGGGAAACTTGGTTCCAAATACTAGTCATCTGATGGGCCCATGTACTTGATATTAAATCATCAGTGTCATTTGAATTTGAACTCGATTCTATTAACCAAAGTTTAAGCATCAAAGTAGTAGACTACAATCTCAAACAAAAGACGTGTTTTACATTAAAGTATTTAAATTTAAAAGTATCGTTTAGATTTTGGTTCAGATATATTAATTATCACGTTTCTCGAAATATGCTAAAGAATGATCAATTTCAGTTGCTCACTTCCTGAAAAATACATTAAAATAAATGAATAATAAGTCCTATTTGGTTGTTAATTCTTTAACCGAAGTATATGACTACAGAATCGAAGAGATATTTGTTCAACGTCTAAATTATATGATAAACCTGTGAATTGCTGCTTTGTAGTTTTGTTCTAATGATATTACTGATTGATTTACACGAATTGATGACTATTAAATACGGTTATCCTATTGATAACATTTCTATATTATCGATGGTATTTATGGCTTAGTTTTCCAACACCTAACTGGAGATCTAATTGTTATATTATAAACACATACAGACTAAATAGTACAAGAATCTCAATTTTCGTATAAAAAAGAACACATTTAGTTTTGATGCAATAAACTTACCGTGCAAACCTAAAGTAACACCATAATCCACGTGTTCAACAATTAGATAGTGATACAAACAAGTAAATATGAATTTGCCATTGTCTGGAATAGCAGTAGGTTGGGATAACTATAGAGCAATTGAACAATATATGTATAAATATATATAGAACAATTAAGTGGATTAAAAAGTAGTAACTATAAAAATTTTATTTTTTACACATTGTGAACTGTATGAAATGAAGTATTATGGTCATTAATTAACTTAAAATTTTATTTATTTTAATACTTGTATTGAATACAAACTAGTGTACAACCTCTTTATTCATTAACATGAAAGGGCTTATGCTGATTGGTTGATGAGTGACTTCGCAATGGATTTACTGATAAATTGAATAGATTTTAATATTTATATTTTTAGTTAAATATTTCACGTAAAATGTTAAGAACCATTTCTACTCTTACCTCAACTTCATCTAATAAAATACTGTCAGAAACTTAATATTCATGGGCTATTATCAAATCGCTTTTTCACTACATATTGAAGCAATCATTAATTAGTATTTACTTTACAAAAATGCTATACAGTTACATTTACAAAAGTTTAGGAAAAAAATGTTTTAAAATAAAACAACAGGAAATCTCATCGTTCCCAGAATAATCAATAGTTTAGATCATTTATCTAGAACAAAAACATACATAAATAACCAGTTGGCAAATGTCATCAAATATACATGCAATGACTTTAATAACAATTTTAAGATTGGTTCTAATATAAAAACTAAATATTCCATATCAATGACAAACAATTAACCAAATAGGAGAAAATATACTTGCCAATGATAATTCATTCAGTCATAACAAATATGAAACCTAATATATATGTTCGTTGGTCCCAACTTCAATACCGTATCAGCATAGCCATATGAGATTATCAAGACATATAGTACCAGGATAACAGAAGCAGTAACAGCACCAGTTACAGTAGAAAAGATTAGGCAGAGAGAACACAACTGAAGAAGAAAGAACGGATTTGAGGAACAATAAGTAGGCATTTTTAGACATTGGATAAGTGCATCATAGCCACTGTAAACGATGAAAAATAGAGATGAATAGATGATTGTTTCAAAAACTGGCGTATAAGTGTAAATCCATTCAGAATACCATATACTTTATTTGAAGTAAATAGTCTTCAGTTGTAAATAAATCTTCAACAAAGAGACTGCATAAATATAATGAAACCAAAGAAGGCGTCTCATTATATGACGAAAGTATACTAAAAAGTTTAGTATTTAACGAAAATTTACCTATATCTCGAAATAACATATTCCCGATGTAAAAAGATTGGAGATTATTACAAGCATTCATGACTAAGTTATTACTGTCTACATCTTAAGTATGTTTATTTTTAAAATAAGTTCAAGTTTCAGTATCTTACCAGCAAGCATCGTTTGGCAGCACGCCGAATATCCTCAATAATATTAACAGCGACTTCTTCTGATAACAACGATACATCGTAGTCATTTTGTGATCGATCACCACCAGTGATATGAAACTTTGCTTGGAGGTCTCGTCGAAATTCAGCCAAGCTAAAAACAACAGAATAGTTAATATTTATTGATGTTACTGGAAATAAGTACATTATTCCTCATAAGCTAGATGAACACCTATGAATATTCACTTTACTATATCAGTAAGATTTTATTATTGAGAGCTAATCACTTTTAAATTGCAACAGTGTATGAAAAACTTTGAAACTAACCCAGAAACATTTAGCGCACGTTTTTGATGCCTTTGACTTTGATAATAATGTTCAAGATGACCTGTTAAGCGTTCAGTTAACCAGTCAGATTCTCGTTTCATATAATCAACTAAATATGGAGCAAATAATTCCCGAAATAATTTGGACAGTTGCATTGGATCCGTAATTAAGGTTAACTCATTAGATAACTCAACAACCAATTTTTCAACGCTGAAATTTGCAAAATAGATACATAAAACTATCAGAATTTTATGTATGACAGCCAAAGTTGAAATAAGAAAAAAACTCCAATTAGATTTTTAAGAAGATACAATAAATTAACGGATGAATGAATTTTATTTATCATCGAAAACAAAACATAAACCATTGGCCAAAAAAATAGCGATGTACGAGAAAAAATGTAGTGAAATTGACAACATTTGCTTGAGTTAACTAATTACATTCATTCTTTTGAAAGTAAAGTACGGTAAAAAGGGTGTAAATGATAATGTTTAATTAACTAACCTAGTCAATGAAAACTGTGTATTTGGTTAGATAGTGAGCAACAGATGTACGTGTTGAACTTATATTTAAAAGCATTGACAACAGTATCGTCATAAATGACATGATAAAAAAGTCTACTTGAAATCTACAATGGGTTACAGTGATAAACATCGTACACTTACAAGCGTAAAACTTAAACACATAAAGGAGATGATTAGCTCTGAACAAAAATTTTATAAGCAAAGATGGACAGTGGCTAACAGTGGAATCTCGGACGCGCGTTTCGTCCTATTCGGGACTCGTCAGCTGGATGTACCTGCATCTCAGAGTTGATATTCACTCTGGGACTCAAACCCAGTACCGTTCGCTTCAAACGCCATCGCGTTATCCATTTAGCACAGTATGCACATATGCCAATAAGAGACTGATCAATTTCAGTCCTAAACATCAATCGGAAGATTCAAGTAAAACCATACCAAATGAATTAAGAATTTTATAATTGTATCGTATATACAACAAACATTGAGAAGTTCAATGAGATGTGCATTTTCATGTACTAACAAAGATTAAAAATAGAACTACTTTCAAAACTATTGAGATTCACTATTACTCTACACAATATTGCAAATGAATATTAGATTACCGAACAAGAATATGTGTAAAACTGCAATCATATGCTTACTTTCGATATTCATTGTACAAATTAGTTAAAAATGCCTGTGCATTCAATTCTTCCTTCATATGATTACTCAGGTATACCTAAGTTGGAATAAATTGAAAAATCAAACAAATTATATGCTTAGAAAGTTCTGTGACGAGGAAAATAAGTATGAAATACGAGACTTTTGGAGCCGTTCTCTGGGTGTTTAGAATATATTTTTTTACCGTGCATTTGTTAAACGACTGATTTACGGTAGTTTTATATTCTCTTAATTATAAGCTTCTATTTGTCTCATTGATAGTTGTTATTATCTTTTCCCATCCATAGATTACTGCTAATCAGTTATGAACCTATTATTTGTATAATAAATGTCTCAGTTTTGTACATAATATGATTCATAATTTACGCGTCATGGTCTTGTATTTTAGAGTTTGAATCACACATAACAGCCTGACCTTTATGCCACTGATTGATAATTTGGGAAAACGGATTAAAATCTCACGTGGGACGTTGGTCGTTTTGAAACATACAGTAAAGTGTCAGCGAACTTAGTTAATATGAAGCAGTCATAAAAGATAAAATATAAGCTTAGTAAAATTACATAGGATATGCACAAAGCACCCGGATCAACTTTGCTTGCCAACTGTTATATACAAAAAGGTTTATCTCCAAAACTATATGATAGTAGTACATTATATGTCTTCGAAGTGTTGATCATGTGAGGTGGAGTAGTGTTAAAATTACGCATCATTTGTAATTAAGAGACGCAAGGCAATCGATGAACTTGTGAGCCCAAACTGATTGGTGTAACTTGGTTGTGTTTAGGGCATGTCAAACGATCATTCGATTATATTGTTCTGGTTGAATTGGAAATAAATTCGCATTAAGTTGAGTGAACTCCGCCTGGAGCCCCTCTGGGGCTACCGCCGACCTCAAGCCCGGATAAAGGAGGAAGGTTGGGCATGGGCAACACCATTGATGAACACGGTGGATCTGATGCAGATGTGAAGGCACGGATCGGAAAAGTAAGAGCAGCATATTTACAATTGAAGAACATCTGGAGCTCAAAACAACTGTCAATCAACACCAAGGTCAGGATTTTCAATACAAATATCAAAACAGTTCTGCTGTATGGGGCGGAAACTTGGAGAATTACGAAAGCCGTCATCCAGAAGATACAAGTGTTTATTAACAGTTACCTATGCAAAATTATTTCGATGCGTTGGTCAGACATCATCAGCAACAACCTACTGTGGGAGAGAACAAACCAGATTCCAGCGGAGGAAGAAATCAGGAAGAAGTGCTGGAAGTGGATAGGACACACACTGAGGGAAGCACCCAACTGCGTCACAAGGCAAGCTCTCACATGGAATCTTGAACGCCGAAGGAGGAGAGGAAGACCAAATAACACGTTACGCCGGGAAATGAAGACAGATATTAGAAAAATGGACAAAAATTGGATAGAACTGGAAAGGAATGCTTAGGACAGAGTGGGTTGGAGAATGCTGGTCAGCGGCCTATGGTCAGTTAGGAGTAACAGGCCTAAGTACGTAAGTAAGTAATTAAGTCCTTTGGATCAAATGTATTTATCAGAGCCTGTATTATTATGTGAACGACTGACTACTATTCTGAAAACCTAAAAGCATTCTTTGAATTCATTCCAGAAAGAAATGTGCCTGAGAAAATGTTAGCTTATGGAATCATTTTGTCCATTGACAGGAACATCTAATTTGAAATAATTTTACATTCATTTTTCATACATGAAAAAATAACTCAATCAAGTGTTTGATCATATGCATGTTTTATTTCAAATTATTTAATTATTAATGTAATTCAAGAAATGCATCAAAACGTTAAACATGGAGTCTTCCCCAATCTAGTTTGTGGAATGTTATTAGAATGTACCCATGTCACCAAACCATGTAGTGTCTAATTTCATAGCTTACTAAATCTCTTAGACCGAACAACCTAATCATTTCGTAAAAATAAGGTTTTATGGTATGATGTTGACGCTATTAAGCATTAAAACTATACAATCTATTGACAAGAGTAGACGGAAAAACACTTTATAAACCGACATAAAATTAACTTTCAGTACAACACTGGCATCTAGTTAGAAAAATTCGGATTTCGACCTTTATCAATAAAGGTCTAATCCAACAAGAGAAAAATTCTTTTGCAGTACTCATACGCATATAATTTATTTAGTCATTAAGGTATTTTCAATAAGAGCATTCAAACTGCAACGAGACATATAAAAAAATTGTTAGTTATATAAACCAGTTACTCAGTACGTAGTATCAAATCTTCAAACATCAGAGTTGGTTGGAAATTAATGAAAGAATGCTGAAAATAAGTGATTAAAACAAATCACATGACAATGAAGTTCAAATAAAAACCGAGTTTCCAGAAGTGTACTACCAACGATAATGTTAGGTAATGTATAACTGTCATTTATTTGACATACTTTTAATTTTGTTGTGAAAAGACTATGCATTAGTTGCATCAGAACTGAATCTGGTCGTAAAAATAAGGTCATAATTAGCTTTTCACTCGAAACCAAGCACCTTGTAATATCTTTAAAATGAATCTTGTTGGGATCTATTGTCTGTTAACAATAAAACGAATGAAAGAAATGTACGAAAATTATGATAAGAATAAACAAATTAGTAGATAGTGACTATGGAACCATAACGTATAGAAAATAGACATTTAAATTGGAGAAATAAAAGCAATTCGACTTTTCCTACTCAATAAAAACTAGTTATAGATATTGCATATTGACTGTTTCATATTGACCTTTTACTCAAAGATCTTTTCAGAGGCCTTATTTTCAGTGGAACGTAAAGAAAGTGAAATTTCAAGGTTGTCTGATCCCAGTATGAACTTTTTTCATTATCATTGCTACTACATCATTTCAGTATTTTTTTTTCTATTCATCTTGTGAAGTTCATCTCGTTGAGCTAATATGGTATGGAAACTTCGAGTGATGCACACTTATTCCAGGCTTTGCTGATGACGACTAACTGGAACACAGTGAATTAAGCACATTTGTGTTTTGAAGACATCTAATTCATCTTAAAAACAGAAAAGAAGCACTTTTCAACATTCTGATTACCTGTGAGAAACATCATACTGCCGGTTCAACCCAGTATAGTCGGTAATCCTATTTCCAGAAATTCGATAATAAATGTACTGATTCTCAAGCTTTCTTGCCGAAAATTTGTCGAAACTACAAATTTTTAAGCTATAAACGTAAACAGTCTAACAGAGAAACTGATGTTTCGAAAGAAGTATATAAAATAAATTTACCTTTACTGTTTCTTCAACCAAGATCTCAGCACATTGAGAGTAGTTTTTGGAAAGAAGAAGTACATCTGCTATGCTCTTCATTGTCTCAATATTTCCCGTAAGGAAATTTGCTCTAAATCGTTCAAGTAAAGCTGTATCCAAGTGTTGACAGGCGACTGAAATTAATTACGTTAAAAATCCAGTAAAAAGGACAAACCTGTTACTCTTTGTTTTGCATTTAAGAAACGTTCATCATCCGGTAACTCCAAGCACAACGAACTCAGATTTTTGAACCGAGTGGCGGCCTCAAGTAGCTAAGAAAGTAAGGTGAAAAACTCGTTCACTAACTTTTTATTCAGATACGCTAAACCTTACAATGCATAAAATTAAAGCACTAAATAAGATTTGAAGTTTAAGGATGAGTATGAGTATTTAAAAAGTGCATACTAGAAATTTCATTTTGTCATCATATCTTTTAAAGAAGAATAAAATTCACTTTCATTCAGGATTGATAACCATAACCACTCTTCTATTAAGTTCAGTAATAACGAGCTGTCTTAACGGCTCAATTTTATACAAGCGTTTGTCACATAAATATTTCCCCTATTATCACCATAAAATCCAATTAATACTTATTTATTAGCACCTGGTTCCCTTCTCAAAACTGAACAAATGACGGTTAGAAGAATATAAATTCATCGTATTTCTCTAAACTGTCGTTAGACATATACAGACTAAGTCTTGATTGAGTAAAAACTGACAAATACGAAAATACTAATTCGGAAATTAAGTGTCTGCCAATGACTAGTAAAATGTGTTGAGATACAAGTTTGAACTGTTGGTGAAAAGTGGCAAATAAATGAAGTGTCGATTCTAGGACGATTAACACATACAATAAGATAGCACCTTATACAAAGCTATGAAACTTGAATGATGCAGTTTCACGATCAATTACGAAATCTAAGAAGTTGATATGATCACACATCAGTATGGTATAGCAAGTGTGTGCGTGAATTTAACAGACAAAATACAATGTTGTAAATATATATCTTACTTAAAAGAAGGTTCAATAAAATCGGTAGTAACAAAAGTCTACAGGGTTAAAAACAAGTGGTTATATGGTGAGCAAACTTTAATAAGTATGAATAAAATAAGTCAGATTAGCTAAGAAAGACCACTAATCTAGAAGATAAATATAATAGGTTGTAAGTAGCTGACGAGAACTAGACGAAATAAAATGGATTCATGTCAATCTGCTCGAACTTTTCCCACTCTTTTTAAAAGAAATAATTATTTGTACAACAAAGTACATTGAAGTACGCTACTTTGATTGTGAATTTTAAGCATCTCATATGGAGAAAATAGGTTATTCTATTAGAAAATATAAGAAAAATATTTCCGGACAGTTTGATTCACATAATATAACAAGGCTTATTCTTCAGGTTATATCGAAAGGTAAGTTACCTGAGCTTCATCCGATTGAGCGCTTACTACATTGGTGACACTTCCTCCACCAAAACCCCAGAATTTATAAAATTCAAGTATCAAATCACGTGCCTCTTCAATTCGTTTTCTTGGCAAGTTTTTTCTTTCTAACTGGTCGCCTAAATGGACCAACTTTCCAGATACCATATGAACTTCGGTATCTAACTTGCAGAATTGCTGACTAAGATCAGTTAAATCCTTTTTTAACCTTTCGATAGCAGAATGAAATGACCGCTCATCCTCTCGACATTTTACCTGTGTTGTGAAAGTTCAAAAAACCTAAATAATTATGATAATACTTTCCATAAGAAGTACGTGGAAGTTATAAGCAGTGAAATTCATCATTATTTCCACTTAGTCTAATCCTTAGTTTTCCTAAGTCAAAAACGAATGATATTGCTAGAGGTTACAATCTATTATCACTTTAAGATGATAATTACCTGATTCAGAAACCTTTTAGTCTCATAATGTACAATAAGACATATCCATAATATTTCAGCATAGGGACACAAAACTTTTTGAACGAGTATACATTAAAGTGTCAGATCACAGGAAATGAACGAGATGCAGGAAAGATAAAGTGGACAAACAAACGAATGAGTGGAAAATGTAAAGTAAATGTAGGATGGAGGTTGGAAGTAAAACAATAGATGGATATATTTGCAGAATCGCGGTCACGATTGAACCATGTTACATAGAACTGAGAGAATGATCTTCTACTCATTATGTTACTAATTACTGGAATTCTATACTAGAACAGGTTATATCAGTAGCTTCCCTTGATACACTTAGAATGGAATTGGTTTTTTATAGTATTGCAAATCAAGAAAATAAACACAGATCAACTAACCTCATATCCATACCGATAAAGATTACCTGCTAACAACTTCAGATTTTGTTTGAGGAAGTGACGAATGTACATCTGATGTATCAATGTATATATATATATATATATATATATATATATATATATATATATTGGTTGCTGCCAACTAACTTTAACTATTAAGCTCTGACAGCAGTTGCTATCGAGAATATCTTCAATAGCTTAACATTTCGACAGGTTAAAAGAATAGTTGCCATCTAAGAGGGTGAACAGCCTGATGCAATATAATTAGTAGGACCATATAGTTACCTGGGCAAGGTGGTAAATTGATAGCACCAGTTATTGGAGTAAGCTTTCTCCCTAATGAGAAACTAGCATTTCCAGACACTATTTTTTACACAGAGGTTGGAAGAGAGCAACTTTGGAAACAACACAAAACTTCATGTGCTATTTTTCAGGTTTAAAATCTACAAAACACACTGTGAAATCGAGAATAACTACTAACAAAAAGGTTATGTAACCAGTCTCAGATAATATTTGGTCGACATCTATTGTCATGGAGTCGAAACTCTGGAGCGATTACTGTTATATCCTTTAAAGATTACATTACGAGTAACGTCTGAGACTTATTAATGGACTATTATTATTTATATATTCTCATGGTATAAATATTAGGTAACTAGATTATGTATATCTATATTCCCCTTGTTGTAAGCTTTATTTTGACCTATAATTTATTATTGTAAGATTTACTGTTCTTAAGCTATGTTCAGTGTATTGACTACTGCCTCCCGCGTTCACAGTCACTTCTTGGCTTTATTGTGTACAAATATTATTTCCTATCATACGCTGCGTTGCGGTCTGTTTGGTTGATATATAAACCCATTATGTCTGAAATAAAAGATTCGATTCGATTCGCATATTGGAAGCTGGTATTAGTGTTCTGGACTCAAGTGGACGGGCTGGGCAGACAGGGCCAAATAAGACGCTAGGCTGCCCATACCGGTTGAACGTGATTGGTTTTAGCACAGTGCTAAGATTGTATAAGTCGTTTTTGGTTGGTGGACAAATCACGTAATAAAAAGCCGGACATAAAGTCATAACAATTACTACAAATCTTCTTCAGTTAAGTTTCCCGACACATCAGTCAGTCAGCTACAGCGTAGGACTAGACACATATGTGCATCGGTCCAAGTTGCCATACCTCATTAGCACAACAAGATGAACACCGAATTCATCAAAGTAGTGGTGGTAATATATAAAAGAAAGATTGCATATAAGGATATGGTACAGGAAAAAAGAACTGGTTCATAAAAAGAAAGATATAAAATAATTTTAATCTCATAGTTTAAGGGAAAACAAACAGTGTATACACCGACGCGATTGTGATCGGTTCTGAGGCATGTCACCAAGAGTCTCCAACCATTGGTTACGATAGTCGTGCGAATCCCAAACAAGTAGTCTGCATCTAACAACATGGCTCAGACCACATGTTAGTGACTTCAGGCACTGATGCCACGTTTTGCTTTGGCCGCCATCAACTTTCTTCCAACCATCCCCAACACTAATCAGCATTGCGCGTCGTAGTATTCGTGTTCAGGCATACGTAACACGTGGCCCAATCATCTCAGTCGATGAAGGTTTACAACCTCATCAACTGATTTACCACCATCCGATAATACCTTACCTCTAATCTCACTATTACTTACCCGGTGATCCCAGCAGATGCTGACAATATTTATAGGCATCTGTGACCAAATACTAGTAACTCACGAGTATTTTATGCTTTTATTGACTATGTTTCGCAGACGTAAAGTGGAACAGATCGGATTGCTGCACAGTACACTCGTCCCTTAATTGACAGACGGATACCTCGCCTTTGCCATACGTGACATGAGTTGGCAAAAGCCAAACGAGCTTTTCGAATCCGTGATGAGATTTCGTCAGACACCAACCCATTAGGGCTGATCAGACTTCCAAGATAAGTGAAGTAGTCAACGCGTTCGACTACTTCACTCCCTTTGTTCGGGTGTTGACGCAGGCCGGTACTGAAGTAACAACTCACATTTAGAGATGGAGAAGCGCATTCCAAACATTCTGGCATTGTTGCTCAGTGCCACTAAAAGACTCTGCATTTTATCAGCGTCTTCACCAAACAGGACTATTTCATCTGCGTATTCTAAGTCGATAAGTGGACCTCTACTGGTAGAAGATCAATGCCCGAGAATTCAGTCGATGAGAGCGTTTTTCCATCAATAGGTCTATGATGAAGTTGAACAAAAATGGAGAAAGTGGACAATCTTGACGGATACCACTTGAGGTTGCAAAAGCAGATGAAAGTTCCTAACACATACAAGGCTTTTATTAGTTAGGACTAAAAATAGAAGTGTTAAAGAAAAGATGATGCTTGAACTTAAAACTGGGAACCCTTAAGTGGTAATGCCTACAGCCAATATACTATTATGGGAGGCTAACATGTCCGTAAACAGATAATTGATTATAGAAGTAAATGAAATTCCCTAAAGTAATCAGTGTTCAGATCTGACCCCAACAATCTTTAGATTTCAGGGACGACTATTTCAGTTGTTATTACTCATGCGATCAGTTGTACGACTGGTCTTAAATAGTTAATGTTGACCACATTTCATGACAACGTTTAGATCTAACCAAGGCCATATGACGTTCATTTATATTAAAACGTGGTAACCAAAAAATTAGAACGTTTTGAAGCATCTGAATCTGGTCAAAATCCCCAAAGCTTACACATAAATTTTAAGCACACTAGAAAGTCAGCGAGGAAAATGGAGGCGCCGAACATCCTACAATGCATTTTAAAAGCTTAAACCACGAAATATTCAACTAGTCACGTTGAGTAACCTTTTAAATTAACAACCTCTGAATATACTTCATGTTAAGCTAGGAAACCATTATATATTTGAACCCAAACAGTAGTCATATTCATCAAGAACGTTAAAAAAGTTTTGTTGTACGGAGCTGAAGCGTAGAGAACCACTACAACCATTACCAGAAAAGTACAGGTATTTATGCACAATTATCTATGCAACATATTCTAGATCTGTTGGTCGGATAACATCAGCAACAACCTACTGCGACAGGAAACAAACCAACTTCCAGATGAAGATGAAATTAGGAAGCGGATAGGACACGCATTGTGGGAATCTTCAAACTGCATCATGAAGCTAGTCAGTCTTCAGTTTTCAGTAATAAGGATAGGAGGTCTGTCGACCTATATTAATCCTTGCAGTTTGTAATACTGTGGAAGTCCAATCTCGTTTTGAATATATTAACAGACGGTGCTGATATTACGTGTTCCGGTAGGGAATTCCAGTAATTCACTACTCGGTGCGAGAAACGGAACTCCAGACGTAAACGTCCTTACTTGCAATCCTTAAGTCAAAAGGAAAAGAGGACCCAAGAACACATTGCGTCGAGAATCGGTAGCACACATCAAGAGAATGAACAGCAACTAGGGACAAGGTTGGTTAAAGAACCTTGGTCGTAGGCCTACGATCTTATGAAAGCTAACTGACGTAAGTACGTAAGTAACCATCTGATCAATAAATACAAAACTAGACACCATTTATAAAGACTCACCTCCATCTGAGAACATTTTTCTTGCAGCCTCGACTTGAGTAAAAACAGTTCGTACAACGCACCCTCAAAATGTTCTTTTAACTTTTGCGGTTTTAACTCGGTTTCAGGAGTAGGAATTCCAAGTACACTCTTCGTCAATCGGTCCAACAACGCTACCCCATAATTCGATTTCTGAAATGGTAAAGTATGTGCAGGTATAAACATACGATGCTCGGAAATGACAAATCCGGATTTATGGCTGGACACATCGAAATGTCCTTGACTTTAAATTAGTGCCATCCTTAAAGTTGCACATCGCATTTAAATTCACAGATCTTCAAACACTGATTAAAAGATGAAATGATGATAACTTATGTTTCCCTAGTATGCTTTTGAAAGCTTATAGTTTGTTTCGATTTGGTTAAACTAATCATCCTACTTCTTTTAGTATTGGACCTCGAATGGTCCAAGTGGTTGTGAACGGAATGAAAGTTTTCGCTTAACGGGCTTCTGTGTTTAATAGCTGTGAATCATCAATACTTCCAGGCAAGATCATGGGTATATTGCCGATAAAAGAGTAAAAAGAAGTCGGTGAATCATAGTAAGATACTATCCTAAGTCCTTGAGAATATATCAAGTTTTCTTTTAAAGGACTCATGGGAAGTCGTTTGGACTAGCGCAGCCGTTAGTGAATTTCCAGCACTTGTCTACTCTTAAGGGGTGGACGTTGTGTTTGTAGTTCGTTCTGTTGAGTTGTGTTTCCACTTTTAGGGTATTACCTCTTAGTTTTGTTTCTGGACCGAGTAAAAATGCTTCCACTCTAGGGTTTGTCATGTCTATTAGAAATTGATCAATAATGCTTCCAGGAAAACACATAGGTGTTTGATACAAGCAGAAGAGAATTATTAATAAGCTGTTACGAGACACAGTCCTTAATTCTTAAGAATATATCAATTTTCCTCTTGAAGAAATAGGAAGATCAGTCTTCGGAAATATGGATAGTAAATTGATTGATCTGAGTTAGCTTTTCCAATTTATTTTCCAGTAGAAACCCAGCTTCTCCTTAAAAATGTTCACTGGTGCAATGTACTGTGGTAGGGTGCTTCAGTAATTGCGAAATGGGATCCCACTCCTAGTTTATTTGATCGTGGTTTTAGATTTTATTAATGTTACCTCGGAGAGAACTAGTTCTAGAGCGGACGTAAAGATCAAACAGTTTAAAACTCAGATCGTTATTATTGATACGGAATGCCAGTATAAGGTCATTTCGCGTCCCAGGATGAAGGAAAGAAGTTTAAACATTTTATAGCGGTAAATAAATTCCTGAAACAAACTGTTCTGTCCACCCTCGACATTGATGCTGACCTAGTCGTAGGTTCTCGGTCATGCCATCGCACCAGACCACGAGTGGGTATATCGTTCTACTCATCCATTGTAAATACTAACCAGCTGAGATCAAACGCCTCTCAACATGTCGTATACTCCGATCATAAAAGTATTGCGTGTAAAGGCGTTTTCAAATTCCCAATACCTGTGGAATCTTCACTTTTAATCACTCATTAGTGAAGGATATAGGAAGACCTATCAGTCGCTTAGTTTACACACGTTGAACACAATTGAGTGTGCTGGCATCCTCAATGTGGAATGGACTAGCTGCTCACGTCTCACATAAGTAGGGCACAAAATTCAAAACGCATCCTCATCAAAAAATTCAGATGCTCAATGAATTGACCATATCCTTCAAAAATCTTTGGCAATTAATACATTACAAGTCACAGCTGTTGACAAGCCATGAATCATTACCACTCCTATTTATGTTCTTCCTGAGCCTGTGGAATCAATGTACTACTGAAAGTATACTAATGAATGTTACCATGCCTAATGTACATTGGTGCATTCCTTCTACAATTAGTCTAGAATCCCCAACTCTAAGATCTCCAGAATAAATCATTTAATCCGACTTGGAGATGGATATGAGCACTCTCACTATTTATTGTTCTTCCGACTGTGACATCATCTGCAAACAGAAACTCCGATGACTTAAGCAGTCTTGGTAATTTATTGACGTAGGGTATTTATCATAAGATTGTGAAGGCCCTGACGGATGTGTCCGCTGAATCTCTACCATACTGTTTGAAATGACTTTGCGGCAGTCTAAAATGCCAAGAGCATAGAAAGAGGCGTGAATCATTTCGCCTCATAAATCGGAGAGTAGAGAAGTAGTAACTAACAACTCGTTAATCCAACCTGTGTAATCGTAGTGGCATTGGGCCTTCAGCACACAATCCTCAAAGCTGAACATGAGATAATTGATAAAATAAATATTCGACATTTGACATGGAGAGAAGACCAACAATGGAGAAGGCAGGAGAAATGAATTGAGTTCAGTCGGATGGCATGGCTCAGTCTCGCGAACGTAGTCATGCAGTATACTTTACATTAAATATATTACTCTATCTTTGGCCTAAATGTGTTCTTTAGAAACTCTAGACATTAAGTTGTTAATTGTTACGATACGATGAGAGGGTTAGAGTAAGCAACCATGCCTGACACCGAACGAGTCTGTGACCACTACTCCATGCATGATTTTGCTGTTTAATACATCGTAGGAATTCTGTGTGATATTGACTATCTTCGGAGGCACGTCGTAGTATCGAAGAAGCTTCCATTGTGTTGTTCTGTCCACGCTATCAAGTGCTTTTTCGTAGTCAATGAAGTTGATGTAGAGTGATGAATTTTACTCAACTGATTGTTCCACAATGATCCGTAAAGTTGCGATTTGGTATGTACACGATCTATCTTTCAACACGGCTTTTCTTCGGGATTTTGACAAACTCAACAAATTCAAGACAGCCCTCAGCAATAAATTCCAGTCCTTTCATGATCTACTCAACGGAGAAGGAACTACTATGGAGTGCAACTGGAAAGGGAGTAGATCATGAAGGGACTGGAATGTATTGCTGAGGGCTATCTTGAATTTTCGAAGCTATCACGAGTTCACTTAATCTGCGAACGAGAAACAAGACTCGGTGACCAAAGACCAGTAAGCTAGCTACTGATGCGTCCCAGCCCCGCTAACTAAAGCTAGAAGTCCAAGCTTGGAATGGGGAAGTATATTCTGCAAACAGCCAGAAACGAACGATAACAAAAAACACAATTCAAAGCGTATATGTACAGTACCAAATAGCATGCTAAAAGACGTAACGGACCAATAGCATTTAAGATATTTCCCAGTGGGAAATACGACATGGAAATGCCAAGAGCGCCTTTGGTGCGAAAGCAAAGGAATTCAAATTTTCTAAATAAAATTACAAAATCAGGTCCTTTCCCAAGTGAGTTCTGTGGATCTAACGTCCCCAACATTCTTGGTGATCGACTGGATCATGAAGACGTCAACATCTGAAGGGAAGCACGGGATACAGTGGACAGCTTGGATGCAGCTGAATCATCTAGACTTCTCTATCGCAAACGCAACAACAAATGCAGATTGAGACGAAAAATGGTTAACCCATTGATGTAAGACTCCTCCGATTGCTGAGTCGGATGCGTCTACTGACATACCAATGGGTGTTTCAGTGTCCTGATGAACAAGCATTGTTTCTTGAGCGATAAGTTCCTTAACTGTGGAGAATGCTTTTCGCACGCTGTCGTCCAGATTGATGGATTTCGCATTTCCACGAAGTTGGTCGGTCAGAGGTTTCATAAGTAATGCGCATTTCGGTATGAAACGTCTATAGAAACTTACCAGGCCGCCACTTTGGTCCTAAGGGGTCGGATACCTTGAGCATCGATAGTGTGTCTTAGAAAGTCTAAAGGGTCAGTCCCGATTTGGAATTTCTGAATGTTTACAGCAATACCATGTTTTTGAAGTCGTTCGAAAACAAGATCCAGATGCTTGAGATGTGTTTCTCTGTCCGGACTTGCGATAAGACAGTCGTCAACATACGCGTGTACGAAGTTGAGACCTCGAAAAACGTCGTCTATGAATCTTTGGAATGTTTGAGCAGCGTTTCTTAGACCGAAAGGCATTTGCAAAAATTCATAGAGTCCGAAGGGAGTAATGATGGCGGTTTACGGAATGTCGTCTGTAGCCATAGGGATTTGGTTATACGCTTTAACCAAGTCGATTTTCGAAAAAACAGTTGTACCTTTCAAGGTACCTGTCAAATCGTGAATGTGAGGCAACGGGTAACGATCGAAAATGGTTTCCCCATTCAATCGCCGATAGTCACCAGTTGGACGCCAATCGTTGCTGTCCTTTCTAGGGACCATGTGCAACGGAGATGCATATGGGCTATTTGACGGTCGTATGATTCCTAAGTCTACCATGTGGTCGAACTCGGTTTCCGCCAACCTTAGCTTTTCGGGGTCTAGTCGTCGTGCTTTAGAGAATACAGGTGGTCTTGTAGTCGTGATGTGATGTGTAACGTTGCTGGTTACACACGGTAATCTCGGTTGCGTTTGTTGTATCCCTGGATACTTATCGAGAAGTGGCTGATAGAGTGGGTCTATCATATGCTTAATTGTGACTGGGGATAATCTGAAACCAGAGAAGGAAGTTACGCCTTCGTTTGCGCGTATCGATGATCAGATTATGGTGTTGTAGAAGGTCCATACCAATGATTGGCATAGATACATCTGCAACAACGAAGATCCAGTGGATGGGCTTTCGTAAACCGACGTTAAGGTAAACGTACCTTTTGCCATTACGTAGCGATCGGTTTTCCGTTTGCCGCCTGTAAGTTTAGGGTCGATTCGTGAAGTCGGTCGTTGGGATTCGCTGGGAGAACGCTAACTTCTGCGCCAGTGTCGACGAGGTAGCGAACTCTCATTGTCACATATGTGACGGCTACGGTTGCTGTTAACGCGTGCCGGCTTGGAAGTTTCTCGACTTGTTTTTCGTGTTGGTCGATTTTTAGTTGGGAAAACTGCAGGATTTTCTGAAATTTCTGGAGGACTTTCCATACTGGTTATGATACTAGCACCAGTCGGGGTTATCAGTCTCTCATGGTCCAGAGACAGATCGCTTACGTGAAGTGCTCCTTCGAGAGGTATGTGATCGCTTACAGCCGTTGCGAAGTTCAAGATAACGTGTAAGGGTATGACATAACTCTGTTATGTCCTTCTGTGTCGCTTGAGGCTTTTCTTTGACTGAAAAAACCTCGGCATTAAATTTCGTGATTTCTAAAATGCGGTCGGCGAATGCAGCCAGTTCATCCTAGGCGTTATTGTGAAAGGAGACAAGCACATCTTGCATTTGTTGAGAAAGTTTGGATAAGAAAAGTTGTTTAAATAGGCCATAATCGAAGGTTCTTTGGCCGATAACCTCTTTCATTCGTTGCAACATGTCAGTCGCAGAACCGTGTTGCAGGTCGATGTTATCGAGGAGTTGGTCTAAACTTTGTCTATCGGTTAGGTCTCCGCGTTTAAGAATAAAACGTTTCGGCGTTTCGTAAGGTTCAGAAACATCACTAGTAAACATACTAGGTGTTACGTACCTGTTGAATTCGCGCGGTAGTGCCTTGACTACTGCGAGGAATTGTGCACGTATGTCGATCGCGCCGTGCTTGGAGAGGTCGGCTTCTGCGTAAAAAACCAGGCTTCGATGTTGTCTGGCCACACAATGTATAAAAAATTAAAATAAGGCAATGATATATAGAATCCTAAAAAGGAACAGACTCACAATTCGCGATTTGGTGTACCAGATCACGTTAGGCTCACCAATGAAGATGCCACAGGCATTCGGAGTTTGACAGCGCTTTAACCCGTAACACGTTCTGATATGAATCGTACCCACCAAGTGAAATCAAAAGACAAACGAGGAGTTTCGAAGATATATTTGATAGGCTATCAATATATCGAGGATCGTCTGATCTAATCCGGCTAGCGATTGCAGGGGTTGTTGAGCACGGCGTTCCCTCTCGTGATCTGGTGCGGATGCATGACCGAGCGCATTCAGCTAGGTGAGTCCATTAAAACTAATGCGATCAGCATCAAATGTTGAAACTTACAGAACTACTGACCTCGGGGATACATTTATTTCTACTGGCGACTAATTAAGGTCGACTGACCTCCTAATGAATACCGAAAACTGAATAATGTATAAAGAAATGATTGTTGCATATGAGTATCAATGAAATGAGTGCGAATGAGTGGCTAGACTACCTACACTGGACGGTGCCATGGACTCGCAACCGAACGACAAGATCAAGAAACGAGTATAGAGAAACCGAGTGGCTTATACAATTTCGTCAGAAATATATTGGTTGTTGGATATTGTGCAATAATTTGTACTGTTGCGTTACGTACGTTAAAGATAGAAGACCTTGTTCTTCTCTTTTTGAATCTTCGTGACAAATCCTGGTAGCGTAGAAATACTAGTAATATGTACTTGAAAAGACGTCAAATAGTCTTATTACAACTAAACGAACGTAATTGCATTGGATACTCAATTGAGTGGGGTAAAGTAATGATAAATGAGAAAGTGAATAAATTTTAATAAAGTAGAAAGGGAAGTAAATATAATAGGCAACCGTTAAGTGACGCTTCCCATAGATTTGCATTTTCGTCGCTTGTGTTTCCTACTTTTCTACGTCTATTTCTAACTGTTCTCATGAGAACAGCGAATTCCCTGTAGGCTTTGCCGATAAATCTTAGTTATATGGATCGATAATAATCAGTTTCCCTTTAGTATAGACTGAAAAGTATAACCATGCATTGGCTTACAGAATACTAAGTAACTGTCCTCACACTTACAATGGTTTAATATTCTGAAGTAACTTATCCTTATTCTGTATTGCTTCATAAAACCATCATCCCTGCAATCTTTTAGCGTCCCACAAGTCTCAGTAGAAAACTTCGTAACCTTCTTTAAAAACCTAGGGGCTCAGACGTATTAGTCGTGGCAGGCTATCTTAATGCTTAAGTCAGTTGACTAGATCAACTTTAACACTTAGGTGGGTCTTATGGTATCTCAACCCAGTGAGCAGATAACAGTGATCATCTGCAGTTCTGTTCAAACGGCCGATTGTTTGTGGTAAGTACAAAATTTAATTATAAGGAGAGACACCATCTAACCTTGTGACCCTACCACTGAAATTCGAATGCAAATAGACCACATCTCCATTGGCCACCTCTGGAGAGGGTCGATAGGAGACTTTCGTTTCTACTGGAGTATATATTTGAACTGCAATTATGCCATTGTCAAGGCACATTTATATGCGCTTTAACGGACGTAAGAAAGTCGCAACCGGAAGATGAGGTATGACAACTTGGACCGGTGCATATATGTGTCTGGTCCTACGTTGTAGCTGACCGACCTTTCAAATATAAATTTTGATGAAAAGATCAAGGATGTATTTTGGGAAAAAAATTGGCTAAGTACCTTATTGATCTTAAAGTAATAGTTCATCCTGAAGAAACTTAAAAAGATGTCCAAGTAACTGTAATTACAGCAGCGACATCAAGAACTCAAATTAAAAGGTTAGTAAAGAGCAATGGGTTTCTGTGACACAAAGTGAATTGATGGATACTCGATAAGTCATCTCGGCAGGTTTGGAGGTACGATGGAGAGCAACGACAGTTCAAACGTAAACTAACAGAAAGTTAACGCAATGATCGTGACCAGTGGTCGGCAACGAAAGCAAAAGAAATGTAATACAGAAGAGATAAGTAACATTAAGTTACTCCACCGACTTATTAAAAAAGTATTAAAAAGCTAAGTGTTAGTGGGACTATCTTGGAAAAGGATGAAACTATTGTCCACTATCAGGGAGATTAGATAGATAAGCAGAACACATTAGGGAACAGTTCAATTAGCCTCCAGCCACTGTTCAGTCACCCCTTATTCCTAATAAACATAAGCGGGGAATTGATACAAGTTCTCTAACTCTTAATGAAGTTGGAAATACTATGGTTAATCTAAGACGATGGATAGCAGCAAAACCCGATGGTTTAATCATAGAGATATGTAGGTTTGGTGATCCAGTTTCATCAATTAAATTAACCGGGATGTTACCAAGTTTCCTACTAGGCGATCTGCTCATCGATTTAGAAGGCTTAAGTAATGCAGTCTTATTTGGCAAAGACGCTGACAAAACTTAGTCTTCTGATCGTCTCAAAGAACCATTCTAGCGTGTGTGGAATGGGTTTCTTCTCAAAATACTTCAGCACTGGTAATAATAAGTGAAGTTGTTGAGTGCGTTGATCAGTCCATTTATCTTAGAGGTCTCATCATCTTGGCACGGAATCGGAAAACTCACTTAACGTTTGTCGGCTTGCGCTACTTGGAGCGTAGGCAAATTTCTTGTTTGCCACCCAAAAGGCGTATATAGTACACAGCGGTCCACTCTGTATTACTTCATGGCTGTAAAACATTATCTAAAGGTGTCGGGTCATGGATTTCTACGGAGCACTGCTCGCGTTTCATGGAATAATAGAGTGAGCAATTTTAAAGTTGAGCATTGAGCACTTGGCAAAGTTGGTAAATTAGGTAGTGGGTTTTCTTCGATTGAGGTGGTTGGGATATAGGCCACGTTTCACCAGTCCATAAAGTCATTGACTGTTGGATTAAGCCATGTGTAGATGCAGGTACTTGGTTGGGATCTGCGTGATAACTGCCATCAGTATTCTGAGATCTTGGCTCAGAATAGTTCAATGTCGCAGACCCCTTCACTTTTTATCTTTCTCTCGATCTTTAATTCAAATATCTCTCCGTAAGTACTACTACTCTGTCTTACCAAACTATATTCCTAAACTTTAGTCTTTATTATTGCTATTACATTATTTCAATCACTTTTGTTATTTTTATTTTGTGTTAATATGGTATGGCAACTTATTTCAACTTACATCTGTATCACGTTATACACTGATGATGTCTATCTGTCTGCAGTATGTATTTGAAAACCTTGAGTAAAGTTACCCAAAATCTATTAGATTAGTGCATTTCCATCCATTTCCTGTCGTTTATCTCTTAAGCGTAATACTACTTAGTATTTTTCATTCTACGGTCTGTTTGATTCTGAATAGCATATTCACTAGGTTTAATACACAACTTTTTTAGTATTATTTTAGTGGAAATTAGCATCTAATCCTGATTTCCTGTACCCTGTTAATGAGAAGTGTTTTGCACGTCTGTGCTAAGTTTCTCATTATTTATCATTGACCAAAAAGCATCGGACATTATTATCTGTTTATAGGTACCAGTTATGTAACAGTGAAAATGAAGTAAAGGTTGGTTTTACTGTGAATTCTCAACTTTGTTATACGTATTGGGCAATAGAAAGATTTGAAAAAGTCAACATTAAAATGGAACATTTCGCCTTACCTCATGAACTTCATGTACTAGTGGTAGGATCTGAAATATACACGTAGCTAAGATATAAGATGCTAGTCAAAAACGTGTGAACAGCTTCAGAACACTGTCTTTTGTGTACTGGATTCATGCTCTTAATTCAATGAGACCTTCACTACTAATCAATTTTCCTTTTCAGATCCCCAAGGAGAAATATCCTTCTATGGTTTTGGAAACTGGGAAATATCAATCCCTTACATTTTTCTAGCTGCCCTGTCTTCATTTTTTAATATTATTTTTACTACGGTTACCATTTTTTCTCCACCTCCATCTTTTTCGTGTGACGTCACTGCTAACAATCCGATTTAAGTTAATTTTTATCAGGTAAGTATAGGAAGCTATCATACCTACCAACAAAATATCTTCATTCTTTCCAGTATATTCAAAATCAATGATCACGATACCAACTGACGATGAGTTAGACACACTTGTATTAAATCATCTGGAAAATTTGTCTACCATTATTGATTTGAATCACCATTTAGAGGATTCTTTAAGTAGGTTATGGAATTACTGTAAATTTAGATGAAAGGCGAAGGAAGACTTTTACTGGCTAAAACGCGACATAATCTCCGGGGAAACAGTTGTTCGATCTCTTCAACCTCTTACAATTTAAACGAAATGTCTACTCGTGGTGCATCTTTCCGTGCTGCAGTCATTGAAGAGGTATTGTATAACGTTTAAAGATTTACGTTTAAATGATTAAACGCTATTTCTTTCTTTAAGTGGAGAGGAATTCTGCTAATCTATATGTGTATGCATTAATTTAACACACTTATGGATCGTTTTCTCCTCTTGACTTGATAGATAACATTCAGAAGTATTTCGATTTATATTATCTTGCTTCTACATTGCAAACCGGATTTATTATGTAGCCTTTTGTGAATGCGAAATAGTTCGTGTAACAAACTGATGGCTGGGAAAGCATGAAGTGGTAGGAATCTCCATGTTCAGTCCAAGATCCACGAGTACCTATTCTCATTCTTGTTCTCAATCAAGCGATGGACATTGATGTCTCAAGGATAGCACATTACTGTCTAGCCACACGGTTTTTAGAAGTCCAATGGCCACTGTTCAATAATGACTATGTTCAAATCATAATATGTCCCTGTTTTCAGTTGTAATTGGCTTAAACTGATATTTCGGGTTTTTTATTAGAACATCAGCGAATACATATAGAACCATATCTTTTTTAAATAATGGGTGGTTATTCACTCGCGTTACGCATTTTTCTAATTCAAATAATTTGAAACAGTTTCATACCGCTTTATCACGTTATCTTTACTGGGAGCTAACCCGTAACGGATTCGGAGTTCATAATCATGTCTCAGTTATTTCCAATCATACTTATTGTCCTTTGTAAATCTTATGGTTTCAGATCTTGTTTTCTTTCCTCTGCTAACGAGTATTTCCGGTTTCGTTTGTTCAAACAGAGGTTGATGTTTGCCAAAGAATGCGCTTAGTGTGTTACAACTTTTAAACCCAATGTTAGAAGTTATAAAAATCTTTTAGTCCATAACCCATTGTAGTCACTATTCTTTAATTGTGTCGACTGTGTATTCACTAAATTTTTTAGATCGTCTTTATAATAGTTATTATTCATTTTTGAGTCTTTCTACTTGCTATTAAATTAAACTATCTAATTTAACCAGTTTTTTATACTTCTGTTCAAACTTTCAGCTCATATTACCTTTTTGTCTGTAAATTGTTGATACGATTTGGCAGCCTATTCATAAACGTTTTTCTTTTTTCATTAAACAGTTAACATGATTTCGTTGTTTTTTGTCCTACTTTTCTGCTTCATGAGGTTTAGAATAATACTGTGTATATTTTTATTCTTAGATTTCAATTTAGCTTACTTTTATGTACCAACCCGTAGACTCCCGAATATATCACCACAAGAATTTACTAATAATGCAACTATAGTATGGGCTGTTGATACTGTTTTAGTTTTGTGATAATCTGAGCTCGAATTTCTATGAACAGAGCTTTCGAGATCCGCTTGTCTGTCAACTTCAGTACAACTCCACTAGGAAACTAAGGCTGTACATGGGTATACGTAGAATTCACTTCTCTATGATCAGATAACAAAATTTTTTTAGCTCATCATATTTTGATTGATACGTAGTTTACTTGACTTTAAGCTTTTACACTTGTTCGTTGATTGAACTGTAATACTTGTGCTCAAGCATCCAGATATTACAATACTTTAACAGTCCAATTGTCAATCGTAATTCACACTTTTTTTAACCATAAATTCTAAAGCATCTGAACATTGGTTTTATTTATATAAATGTATTGATCATATATCATGTCTCATTTTTCGTATGATATTGGATTTTTTAAAATAACTTTTTCACTCAGTAGTTCGTCACTACTAAAATCTTTCATGCCCGAGTTATTCTAATTTACTCAATAGTACTTAATGCCATGAGAAATTCTCGTTACGCGGAGTCGCTTTCTAAAACTAAATTAACTATGTAAGGGTGTACATTGGTGATACTTAGTCATATGTTCCCACGCATCATCATCATCATAAACTCAGTATGCCATAGGTTTTAATAATATTCTTGACGTAAATTTAACCTAAGAAATAAAATTTCATAAATTAGCAACTACCTGCGTGCTTATGTTCTAGGCTGTGAATCATTTATTCTGTAGGATAATCATACTACGTGGTTACATAATTCTTGGAAGGTGGAACAAAGTCCAAACGTGGACCTTGATGATTAGCTCAAGGCGATTAAAGAGTTTTTGAAGAATGAAATCAATCTAATAATGCATACTATACAAACGTTACGTACTCATAATCAATGTATCTGCTGCAACTACTTTAACTGTATTACAGTAATATCTCTGAAATTGTTAGTGATGGTGTAATGGGACGACAGTTTATCGGAGCTATGTAGTATATTAGTTCAATACATTTATAAGAATCTTATCATACATTAACTCTCTCTAAGAGAAACATAAGAACAACAAGCATAATAAGGAAAAGCATTGACCATACTGCCTTTAATTTTACACTAAAACGAGTTTGGTAGGTTTACATTTTCGTGTGGATAAGCTTTTAACAAATGTGAATAATCACTTTAAACTACTTCTATACAAATTTACCAAACCTTAGTTGTGACCAGTCCTGTGACCCATCTGAAATACTTGTCGCATTAGTGAAACTATTTCTCAATCCTTCCGTTACATATTTATCCACCTTTATTTGTATGCCACAGGTAATACACATTTTGTATTTGTTCACACGCTTATGAACTGATAAACACGCTGAAATGTAATCCAGCTTTTTATGTGTAACTAATTTCACTTGAATTGTTCAGAATAGTCATGCTTGATTTTATCCACGAGTTTTAATGGAACTTAACAGGACGCAAATCGAAATGATTTTTCTCCTATTAATATTGATTACTCTATATATGTTTCAAGCCTTTTGAATCAGGGTCGGTTTGAAAATTTTATTATGGGAATAAAGATCTGAAACATAATCAAATCGTTTCTAAAACGGTCTATACGTTCATAGATGACATGTATTTCAAGAGGTATAATACTACGTTTTTCACTTTCCTTCCAGCCTATCGAACCTACTTATGATAAGGATTTTAAAACCACTCGTTTTCAGCTAATTGACGAATTGGCTAGCAGTAAGTCTGATCTTAACCCTTCAACAGACCCAATCCGATGGTTTTCTGGAGTACTTGTTCCTTCTAGTTTACGTCATGCACAATCTTGTTTTCGACGTGCTGTGAATTTATCCTTGGAACTTGCCAGTCGACGTGCAAAACTAGAGGCGTCTTCTCAACAAATAAAACATTTAATTAAACTACGCATGAAAAGCGAATCAGCAGTTAAATGACTATATGGTGTTTGTCTTTGACTATCTGTTTTTGAGCTTTCTTCAAATTATTGTAACTGATTTCATACATTTCACTGACTTCTTATATGATGGAATTTTTTTTATCTTCTAGTCTTTTCCGGCCTTTTGTTTTACTCAGAAAGATTTTCGGGACACATACTTCCAGGACTTTTGATCCTCTTCATAATACAGCTTATTTCGCTGTAGGATTGGCATAAGATATATCGTTGGTGTTAGTAAACACTGTCTTTTCGAAAGTATGGAAAAACCCGACATATAAAGAAATGATAATGTACTGTAATTTTCCAGTTTTAATAAATATAGTTCATTTTATTTGTTAGAAATCGTCCTCAGCTCATTCGGAAGGGGTTCAGATATGTTTAGTCTGTGTCAAAAAATAGTTAATTATGTTTACTTCTCGTTTGGTAACTTCAGTCATCATCAGGATAATATTATAATAGTTTCCAGTTGTTTTAAATATCTTGGTAGTAGATCATTGGTATTTAGGACTGAGTATTTTTTTACATCTAGAGTGGATTAACAAGTAAAGTGCTCCAGTATGAATAGATTATTGTATACTACACATTCCCTGATGTGGAACCGACAAATTACTTGAAATAATTTGTAAACAAACATTTATTTTTAAAAGTATATTTTTAGTATGAAGAGTTGGGTGCTAAATAAATGTCTTTAGATGTTTCTAAGTATTGTGATAATAATCATAATATGTGTGAATAAGATCAGTTTAAGCTATGAAAATGGTAAAAGGAAGATTGTGTGGACACCAATCAAATATCACCATATCATCAAACGATTAATTAATTAGCCCCCGCCACGAGAAGGTAGTGAGTAGGACTTGCCTGGCAGAGGCGTGGCCATGTGAGAGCATTTGGAGGGGGAGAGCCGACTTCCCCCACTCTCGGCCGTACTATGGCATTTGGGGGCCTACACATTTTTTAGAGCATTACGCAATTCATTTATTTATCTGCAATTGCATTTGAGGAGCACATAGCTTTGATTCTATGTAGAAGTATCTTGATCAGGTTTATTTTATATCGAAGTAAAAGCCCACTTAGGTTCAATCGGTTCAGGTAAAATCTTTCAGGCAGGAACTATATTTAGTAGTAATATTATTTTGTTTAGACAAACGAAATTTCCAGGATTTTCCATTTTTTTGGTTTATAATAATTAAAAATTTCCGTTTGCGAAGTGTACTGTTAATTCTTTTCTATTCATCATGCTTTCTGCTAAAAAAAAACGTGTACTATAATTTTAAAAAATTCATGTATCTTATAGTTAAAAGTTTTGGAATGAAGAAGAATTAATTTTCTTCTGCATCTTATTTTCTATGATCTGATAAAACGTATTAAGTTAACATTACTGAAGTAATTTCTAGTTAAACAAAATGCGTGTCATAAACTTTTATTAAAATACTATCGTGATAGAACTAATAAAGATCTCAAACAATTTAGTTACATTTATTTCAGCACAACGACTCATCGACTTTAGTATAAGTTTTAATAAGAATCAATGTTATTTGACACAGATTTCACTCGAATATCTATCAATCACTTGTAATTAGATTATAAATAACAGGTTTGATTGGTAGACTCTTGTACTCAGTCTTAAGTAATTTAAGGAGATTCTAAACAATCACTTCTATTAAATCCTGTCCAGTTCCCATTAAAAGTAGATCAAATGGATAATGTGGTAGGTTTTGAACTGTTGTATATTGTTTATTCACGCAGCGTTAGGTTCGAATGATTTGTGACAATACTCTCTCTCTCTCTCATAAACAGTTAAGTGGATCCGAAACAAATCACGACTCATCCGAATTATAAAGAGCTACACAAAATAATATAATACTCTGATTTCATAGGCTGATCGCATTTACTTTTACACCTAATTCCAGCATCAAAAACAAAGATAAATATAGAAGCTTTTTGAATATCATACGTAAAACATTTCCAAAGAGCATAATAAAATATGAAGCGGGGTACACAAGGTACTTCTGAATCTGCGTACCAAAGCTTTTCATGATCAGTCTATCACAGATAGACGAACTTTACAACATAGCTAATGATGACTATCAATGTTATCCACTCCACAGATGTTGCTTTTCCTTGTCACCGTCATCTAGTTTTTAGATGCCTTTGTCAAGAAACGCCTGTGTAAGTTCACCACTGCCAGAAACATAGTTACCTCATAAATGCATTGGATGGTGAGAGTTGTAAACTAATTGCTGTTTCTCGATATTTGAAGAGTGAAGGAAAACTTGTTGCTTGCCTCGTGTACTTTTAGTGTAATGCGATAATTCCCGACCACCAGTATATTCTTAGCTAGAAAGAGATAAACCAGAAGTATAGGTTCTTAATAACAGAAGACTAACATGTGGTGTTATCAAGAATTATGTTTTAATACTTGAACATGAAATACGAATATAAACACTGCGCACACCCACACCACCAACTGAATGGATGCATCGAAAATTTCCCAATTATTCGTAGTTCATATAAATGATAAAAATGTACAATTATTCAAATTTCAATACAATGAACAACACAAAGCTACTATAAACTCACATCGTCGACCATATAGAGCTGTTGGAAGTCAAAGGTTATACATGGTATTAAATTAACTTGCCGAAACAAGTGATTTATTTTCGGGGAAATAGTTTAGAAAATCGCAAAGAAATCTACAATACAGCAGTTTGGTAGAAAAAGGCTGTAATTATTCTCAGCTTATAGAATGGATTCAGCCAAAATGAAGTATCTAATAATCAAGTGAATAGTGTAGAGTGAATGCGATTAGTTTGTTTTCACTGAAGTACTGATACCTTAATTATGTTCATCTAATTGAAAGATCGCATCCAGATCTACGTGAGACTGCTAAATATAGGTGTTGAAATTTACTAAACGATAAATGCCAGTGACTTGTCAGTAGAGACTACTTACTGCATCGATATTCGACAAGCATTCTCCATCCAACTCTGTCTTGAACAGTCCTTTTTAATTGCTATTCATCCTTTTCATATCTGCTTCCGATTCCCGAAGCAGAGTGTTCTATGACCTTCCTCTTTTTCGTTTCCCTTCAGGATTCTAAGTTAGCGCTTGCTTCATGATGCAGTTTGATGATTTGCACAATGTACGTCCTATCCACTTCACATGTGTTTTGCTAATTTCCTCCTCAACTGGAAGTTGCTTTGTCCTCTCTCACGTTATACTGTTGTTGATGGTAATCGGCCAACGAACATTGAGTATCTTGTGTAGACAATTGTTTATAAATACTTGTAGATGTTTGATGATGGTTGTAGTAGTTCTCCGAATTCCGCTCCGTACAATAAAACTGACTGTCTTGACGTTCGTATTGAAGATTGTGACTTTGATATTGGTTGACAGTTGTTTTGAGTTCCACATATATTTGAATTGTAGGAATGCAGTTCTTGCTTTGCTAATCCTCTCCTTTACGTCTGCATCAGATCGTCCTTGTTCATCGATGATGCTGATGAGGTATGTGAAAGATTCCACCTGTTCCAGAGTTTCTCCATCAGGTGTGATCGGGTTAGTGTCCTCCATATTTTACTTGAGGATCTTGCTTTTTCCTTTGTGTATGTTGAGGCCCGCTGATGCAGAGACTTCTGCTACACTGGTTGTCTCCATCTGCATTTGTTGGTGTGAATGGGATAGAAGGGCCAGGTGCCAGGTCATCTGTGAAGTCCAAATCGTCTAGTTGCATGCAAGTTGTCCATTGTATTCCATGCTTTCCCTCAGATATCGAGGTCCTAACAATCCAGTCGACCACCAGGATAAAGAGGAAGGGTGAGAGTAGATAGCATTGTCTGACTCCAGTCTTTACTTGGAATGCATCCATCGGCTGTCCTCCATGCACCACTTCGCACTGTAGTCCATCGTATAAATTCCGGATAGTGTTGACGATGTTCGCAGGTACTCCGTCGTGTGGAAGAGGGTTCGCCTATCCACACTGTCAAATGCCTTCTCATAGTCGATGTAGTTAATGTATAGTGACGAGTTCCACTCAACTAATTGTTCAACAATGATCAGTAGTGTCGTGATTCGGTCAGTGCACGATCAATTATTGCGGGATTCACCCTGTTGATCTCGAAGTTGTGTGTCTACTGAATATTTCATCCTGTTCAGCAACACTCTGTTGAAGACTTTTCCTATTACTGACAGTAGTGTGATTCATCTGTAGTTCTCACCCTTGTTCAGATTTCCTTTCTTTGATTTCTTGATGAGATCTCCTTCCTTTCAGTCCATCGGTACTTGTTCTTAGTGTGTGGAGCATTCCCCTGTCCGTGACAGGAGCATCTCTCGCATATCAGACCTTTTCTGTCCAACTTGGGTCCAATGGGTTTCACTGATTCCTTCAAGTTGTATCTCCTCATTTCCGTTGCTATTTAATTGGTCCTCTCAGTCTCGTACATCGTCCGGACGTCCCATGTGCTGTAGCAAGCCCATTCAACTATTGTGCTATTTGTCCACTCACTGTAATTCAGACACTTAATTCACTGTTAATTTCTGTGTGTGTGTGTATGATTGAGCGCGTGTCTGCACATCAATCCTTAATCTATTCTCCTGATGGCTATAACATACAGATAATCAATAATTTATCCACACTTGATTGACACTCAAAAATATATATGGATTTTTAACTCACACACACACACTCTTGGTTTCACAGTGTGCTTGTTTGCTGTACGCTTGCGGATCTTATTAATCTTTAACAATAAAATATCTCTACAACTGGTATTCAGGCTTCTGAATAATTTCGAGTAAATCAATAATTCTACTAAGAGATTTAGCCTGCCTTAAGTACTCAGTTAAGGAGATATCATTTATTGGAGTCAGATATAGAGGAAACTAGCCTCTACAACACCTATAACAATTGTTGCTATAGTTGTTAGAAGGGGCGTCAGCCTCGTGACCTCCGAAGAATTTCAGCTTTCATCCTGGCGCGTCACAAATCTTCCTTCAACACCCAGGGCAGAGTTTAATTTTTTTAACCTGGTTGGCGTTTTTATAGCAAGATTTTTTTCTGCGGAATGAGGTTTCCAACTCTTCTCCTTTAATCGGGCTTGGGACCGACAGTAACTCTAGG